TAATAGATTTTCATATTTCTTCAATCTACTAAAAAGAAAGTTGTGGTAGCCCATGAGGCTTGACCTAGCACCTATGAAGCAAGGAGTTTGGATTCGAATCCGTGAATTTTGAAATTGATGTGCGAAGTTTAATTTACCATGAGCTTTTGTCGAAAGAAACATCACGAGGTAACCTGCGCATGTCTGCAAAGCAATTTAATGATGTGTGTGAAGTTCTCAATCCTCAACTAAAGCTCAAGCCCTCCTATTGTTACGAGTTAGGGGGGCCTGTGCCCAGCAGTGTGACTATACATATATAGGCTAACTATTATTACACATTTTATTAACTAAGCACTATATGTGCACTGAAACAAATTGCTTTAAAGCGGTGGGAAAGTTGATCCTAGCAACTATAGGCCCATTTCAATTTTACCAGCTTTAAGTAAAATTTTCGAAAAGGTTATGCTAACTCAATTACTGTCCTATTTCGGTAGGAATCATATTTTTCATAGTGAACAATACGGGTTTACTAGTGGTAGATCGACTAGCGATGCGGGGGTAGCGTTACTAAAACACATCTTTGATGCTTGGGAAAGGTCCCAGAACGCTATTGGTGTTTTCTGTGACCTCTCAAAGGCATTTGATTGCGTTGATCATAATACTCTTATTAGGAAGCTGGAACATTACGGTGTAAATGGCAAGGCGTCGAAACTTGTCTCGTCATATCTCAACGGTAGAATTCAGAAAGTAGACATAAATGGAGTGACTTCTTTGGGTTCTCCAGTAAAAATGGGTATTCCGCAGGGCTCAATACTTGGACCTTTCTTATTTCTGATTTATATTAATGATCTGCCATTCTTTGTTAAGGACCATTGCGAAATAGTGTTGTTTGCTGATGACACATTGATTTTTAAAACAGACAGACATGACAATAACTATGACCGTATTAATGATACCCTCTCTAAGGTAGTTTATTGGTTTAATGCTAACAATTTATTGCTTAATGCCAAGAAAACAAAATGTGTTAAATTTGAATTACCTAACGTAAAATCGACTAGTCCAACCATAGAAATAAACGGAGAAAAGTTAGACCTTGTTAATAAAGCAGTCTTCTTGGGAGTGCCCTTAGATAGTAAACTTCAGTGGTTTCCACATATATCGTCCCTGGCCAGCAGATTAAGCTCCGCTGCATACGCAGTCCGCAGAATACGTGAGCTTACCGATGTTAGTACTGCTAGACTAGTTTACTTTAGTTACTTCCATAGTATAATGTCCTACGGGATTCTCATGTGGGGTAAAGCGGCAGATATTCAAACCATATTTGTATTGCAAAAACGAGCGATTCGTTCTGTGTACCGTCTAGGCTCTCGGGTATCTCTCAGAGAAAAGTTTAAGGAGACTGGTATCATGACTGTGGCATCACAGTACATTTACTCAAATATTTTGTATGCCCGTAAAAATATACATAATTTCAATAAGAAAGAAGATATCCATAATATTAACCTTAGAGCTAAGTCCAAACTCATGGTACCACGATTTCGTTTAACCAAGGTAAACAACTCTTTTATGGGGAACTGTATACGTTTTTACAATAAGATTCCGGAGCATATATTAAGTTTATCATTTCCTAAGTTTAGAAACTACATTAAAAATATTTTGATCGAAAAATCATATTACAAAATTGAAGACTACGTGTTAGATAAAGATGTATGGAAAGACGACATGGCTCCAGAATCCACACAAATTTGATTCAAAGTGTATTCCATAGCATTTAAGTTTACTTGAAAAGAGCAATCCCTAGAGTTTCTTGCTCGTTCTTCTCAGGGAGGTCAGCGTAGTGAACGAGCAGTAGCTTAAATGTGACGTTTTCAAGTGTAAATTTATTTTACCTATGGAATAAATAATCTTTGACTTTGACTTTGACTTTGACAAAGGTCAATGGCTCTAATCAAGCGAGCCTATTAAAATGCTTTATAGAATCTATCACAATAATGATTAAACTTGTAATGGCGCTGCTGGTGCTGGTGGCGTTCTGTAGACTGTAAAATAGCCTGGATAGCAGTAATATAGCTTGGTCCAAGGGTAGTAATAGCTTCTGCAGACCTCGCAGCATCCATACGTCTTACTTAGCAAGTTTTAGTAGTTAAAAAGACGAATGTCCGGTTTATAGGAATTTATTCAGTACAACAGCAATATTAATATCTTAAAATGTAAACGGTGTACAAGAGATTTAAGTAAGTGGTAAACGGTTCAAAAAGACAGGAAGACGATGTGTTCTCTGCCGCGATCGGGTAGAGAGCGACGATGGAACGAAACAAAATCAGAATGCGAGGTAAATGGAACAATTCAAAATTTTTAATTTAAATTTTAATAAGAAGAAGAAAACACAATACGATACGAATGGAGAGAGGCGATACAAAAAGGTGGGATGACAGTGTAAGGAGGTCACACCGGCACAACCTACTGTAATCGTTGTGCTTGTTGTTGTAATCATTGTGCGTGATAGGTTGATGGAAACGACTTACTTAGTCTTTATTTTGTAGCACTGTGCCCGAAGTTACTCTGTGTGGCACTCCTCTTAAAAGAGTCACCGAATTTAAGTACCTAGGGCACTGGATCTCTGAGACTTTAAAGGACGATTTAGATGTTGAAAGGGAGCGTAGGGCGCTAGCAGTGAGGGGCAACATGTTGGCTCGTAGGTTTGCTAGGTGTACTGACGACGTCAAACTTATGTTGTTCAAGGCGTACTGTCAGTCACTTTATATATGTAGCCTATGGGTCAATTACACCCAAAAAGCTCTAAGCTCTCTCCGTGTGTTGTATAATAATTTATTCAGGATGCTGTTGAAGCTGCCTCGATTTTGCAGTGCATCGGGAATGTTCGCCGTGACTCGCTTAGATGGCTTTTCAGCTATCATGCGAAAAAGGGCGGCTTCTTTGTTGCGCAGGATTCGGGGCGGCAATAACAGCCTCCTGAGTATAATTGCAAACAGTGTACAGGGTTGCTTCCTAGATCACTGGTCTAGGGTGCACATTGGTTTTGTGGCCTATAATAATAAATTGTAAAATAAGCAATTTGTAATACTAACCCTATTTTTAAGTGTTTTGTTACTAACCCTTATGGACTTAGTCCGAAATAAAGAAATTTATTATTATTATTATTATTATTATTTATTTAAATCACATTTTTGTTTAATGTAATGAACTTTAACACATTAAAGCAAAGTTATGCCACTGTAAGGCCAGACTATCAAAGAATTTCCCATTACATCAAAGGTACATTAGTAAAACAAAACAGAACAATAGAATGTGGTCTGATGTACTATACTGAAAACAAAAGTGATTGAAACAAGAAGTTTAGTGTAACTTATTTCTATAATAATAACTCTTTATTGCACAAAGAAAAGATACATGAAACACAAGTTATAAAGGACATATACAAAGGTGAGCTTATCTCTAGAAGAGATCTCTTCCAGCCAACCCTAGCCTAGGTGAAAAATGAAGTCTGCGGGACTAATTATTGTACAATAAAATTAAAATTTAAATATGAGTAAAAAAAATAAATAAATTAAAATATATATATTTATAAATAATATATATATATATATATATATATACATATAAAGGATGATAATATATACATATGACAGACATACACACCTACATGAACTTTATATACATAAATACAAACATAAGCAGAATATATATTATAATCTAAACAAATTACTACTTTATAATATATGTTACCTATTAGCTATCTAACGCGTTCGACAGGTAGTGCTCTTTTAATTTATGTTTGAAAGATGCCACCGATGGACTGTCACGAATGCCAGCAGGCAGTCTATTCCACATACGAGTTGCACTTACTGTGAAAGAGTTGTGGAAGAATTCTATCTGAAAGTAATAAGAATAATAATAGTAATAACGCACACACTCAACATAGCCCCGCACTAGGCAAACCCTGATTCGCGGGTGCCATGGACACACACATAGACAACCACAAATTACACCCAAACTCACGAGAGAAATAAATGTAGGCCATACACATATTTCTCGCGGCCTGGGAATCGAACCCAGGACCTCTGCATAGCTGTCCGGCATGGTAACCGTTTGGCCACCGAGGCAGTTAAAGTGTCAAGCACAATGATTGCAGCAACATTTTTTTTAACACCAAAAGCAGTACCATTCAGAGCTTTAAATCACAAAGATCTGAGGACACTGCTACTGCGCTCGTCCTCCTGAAACATTAGTTGACCAGCAACTTTAGCCTGTCAAACCTCTAACGCAGTAATGATCACATTTCTGTTTGGCGGCAGAAATAGGTAAGGTACCTACTTCCCTGGACGAACTTAATCACGAGGCGTTCTGCTGCTACTTATATAATTTTGGTTCCAAATACATGTTTAATGCATTTGCATAACATGTGTATATCAAGTTTTATTAAAATAGGCTAACAGAAAATGGATGAAATTCTATAAAGCGGATTTATATATTAATTTGTCACGCTTACAGTTATTAAGTTTTCTTCAAATTGAAATGGAACACTACTGCTGCGGTACTTCCTTTCCAACAAAAAACAATCGTCGAAATCAATTCACAAAAGTTGGAAAATCGCCGCGTAACATACACACAAAGAAAATGCAGTCGAATTGACAACCTGCTACTGTTTCAAAATTTGTTAAAAATACAATACAATATTCTGGCAATACATATCAGACGGATGTGTTATTATTATTATCCATTCTATCCTTGATATTTAGGTAAATGTACTAGGGCTTTTCCGCTATCTGGCTATCACAAAGCCGATCACCACTTTGCCGGCTAAAGTATGGTCGCACCTTCTTGATATAGCCTGTATAATAACCGTCGTTTACTGTGAGTAAGCTTACCATTGATGTAACAAATAGTACACAGCGCGTATTACGGAAAAACAATAAAATATTGAGTATACCAAATTATCCAGTGAATCAAAAAATTCTGGAATATCGAAAAACAACGAAACTTTCTTTTCCACAGCTGATTGTACGTTTATAGTGAATACAGCCTGATTGTCTTTGTTTCCCAGCCAGACCAAACACAGACACACATGGAATCCCAAGATCCATCAAGGAAACCTCCTCCGCAGCCTCCTCCGGAGAAGAGGAAATATGTACTGCATTCTGAGAAAGAACCTTTTGATTTCGTCACCGCAAGAAATATAGCGAAACCTACCAAGTAAGATTTCACTTTTTTTACGATACGATACAAGTCGGGCTACTGTAATGGCCAGTACCACCAGACGTAAGCAACACGACTGTCCATTACAGTAGCAATGCCACTCAGAACTTTCCATCATAAAGATCTGAGGAACAAGTCCCATGAAACTTGCACACTTCAAAACCGAAACACAGTAAGGCTAAGGCATACGGTAAGGTGGCACTTCCCATGACGAACTCTTACACAAGGAGCTCTACCGCTACTACTTACATTTATTTAATTGTCAGACACGTGCTTGACGTGCTTGACCTACAATACTGTACCATGTAAATTTGACACAACGACAATCATCCTACTGCTGTCGTAGCCGTACTTATATTATTGTATTTATACAACAATGTTGACGGGATCATCGGTCAATGACAAAGCGTAATTATTATATTGAATCAATTTATGTATTACGATACAAAGAAAAGTAGTGACATATTGTAGTGCGATACTATTTAAGTAGGTACTGGCCATGAACAGGTTAAAAAGTCTCATCAGCATTAACTCAGAAATAAACGTTTGTGTTTCAGTGTTCTAGAATCAACGGGGCATCTAATAAAAGGTTGTTTAGGTGGCGGTATTCTCGGCATACACGAGGCCTATATGAAGTGCGGACTTTGGACTTCGCTTGTAGTTACAATCATCTTCGGATTTTATATTACCTACTGTTTGCACGTGAGTTTACGACATACTCTTTAATTGGGCTTGTTATTAATAGAATCATGCAAGGTTTTCAAGTCGTGGAAAGCTGGTATAACAAATAAAACAAAGTGGTATCAAAATATCTCCCTGTGTATTAGATTGTTGTGCAATTGTAAACGCTTGTTTGTGGTTATGGAAAATTCTTTATTTAGAAAGCCTGCAAGCACTTATCAACTACAGGCTAATGATTTGTGATCATGTATATAGATTTATTTAATATCGTCCTTTGCAAGCGGATTTAGTTCTAGCATCATCATCGTCATTTCAGCCAAAAGACATTCACTGCAAGACATAGACTTCCTACAAAGATCGCTACAACAATCGGTCTTGCATTGATCGCATCCAGCAGAGTGCCGTTACTTTCACCAGATGTGACCTTGTGTTTTAACTCTTCCGCTACACCCCGTCGCCGCTCAAGAACTCTTTGACCCCATCGGTTCTATGAAACAAAACATGTCAAGCAATGTTTTTTCTTGCGGTTATCCAGAATTGTTGTAGACATCGAATGACGTGATTTTCACCGCTTATCCTTCATGTTTTTGTTTTTCAGATATTAGTAACATCGGCGCAGATTTTATACCAGAGGCTTCATATGACGGAGATGTCTTACCCGGACCTTGCGGAGGCGTCGTTCGAAGTTGGACCTTTCCCCAGGCTTAGGAAATATAGTAAATGGTTCAGGTACTTGTAATATTTGACACAGATCCCACCACAAATCATGGATTGTATTAAGAACAAGAAATATTATGTTTTATAAAGTAACAAATAAGTTATATTTTCCTTGACAGTTAGTTACAGCCCTGCCCTGATAGTCAGTCTCCATTTGATGGCATTTTTAATCGACCAACAATAAATGTAAAGGACTATCTTATCCCAGTTGTGATAGTAAACATACGAGGGTCATGCCAAAAAAAATTAGATTTTCAAAAACTATAAAATTTATTCTTTATTACGGGTATCGATTTTTTTTAAATTATTCACCATGAACACGTATACACTTTTCCATTCGTCTAAACCACTTGGAAAATATCTATGACCACTCTTCTTAGGCATCTCAGAAATCTCCAAGTTATAAGCAGCCAAGGCATCTTCTTTGCTTTCAAACCTCTTGTCTTTTAATTTTTCTTTAATTTTTGGATAGAGGTAAAAACCACAAGGTCCCAGGTCATAGGAATATGGCGGGCGAGACACGATAGATACATTTGTTGAATGAAGATTGTCGAGTGTTCTGGCAGAAGTGTGCGGAGCGGCGTTGTCGTCATACCAGAGGAGGTGCTGGATTTCTGACCTCGGCCGCTTGTCACACCAAACTGACAACATTTTTGGGACACAAACTGTTACATACCATTCGGAGTTAACTGTCCTTTGATCCTCTAGCATTACAGTAGCAATGTCTTCCGTCATGCAGAAAAATGAGGCGACAATTTGTTTCTGTGTGCTTCGTGTATGACATTTCGTTGGAGTCGGCTCATCTTCAAAGCACCACACAGTGGGCTGTCGTTTTGTTTCAGGATCATAGTCATAGTTATATGATCATGTTTCGTCACCTGTCAGTATATCATAAACGTTTTTTTCTCGTCAGGGTCGAATTTATCTATCATAAATTTGCACCAATCCACGTGACGTATTTTCTGCTCATCGTTAAGTTTGTGCGGAACCCATCTCGAACAACGCTTATGGACAGACAGTTGTCCGTGAATAGTAGTTTGCAATGCTGTTGATCCAATGCCTAGTTCTCGCTCAAGCTCTACATATGTAGTTAGTCGGTTTTCACGAATTACTTTTTCGACAGCTTGAACGTTTTCTTGAGTAACCGCGGTTGGCGGCCGACCTGATTTCGCCTCATCGTCACATCCCCGTCCTCTTTTAAATTTAACAAACTAATTGAAAACTGTAGCTCGTGAACAAGCAGTATCACCAAAAGTTGTGGCTAAAAGTTCAATACATTCTTGCGGATTTAAACCTTTTTTGTAGCCATAATAAATCATAACACGAAAATCACGTCGAGAGAGCTCCATTGTTGCGAACAAAATTCCCGCCAGATTAGATTGTCTCCGAAAAACAAAAAAATTAATAAAAAAGAATTCGATTTAAAACGTTTTCCATTTTCAAATTTATTAGCAAATAACCTGCCTTTACGACGGTGTATAACTTGCCAGTATCAAACAAGTGATTAAAGAGTATCTAAGTTCTTTTGACTTGACCCTCGTATAACTCTCTCGTTATAGGCGACTCGTGTACGATATTGGGACGTATAATGAGTTAATGTAGTAAGCTTACCTAAATTTCCTATATATCTTAAACAAGGAAATAAGTGTCGATTACTGGCTGTGGTGATAGTAGAATTTTTTTTATACACAAACTAAATGCGCATTTCACCTCCAGCTTACCTGATGGAAAGTGCATCACTTAATTTAATTTTTTTAAATTATAAGGACGATATAGCATGCAAACCTAAATAATGTCTATTCAGTCTCGCCTTGAAAAAGTCCAAGTTATAGCGTTCGAGGAATAAGTCCGCAGGCAGGAAATTTCACTCCCTAACCGCTCCCCATATAAATGTGGAAGCGAAACGCTTCGAGCGAATCCTGGGAATATCCACAAAATAAAGGTGGATCCTCAGCCCATGTCTAGTCCCCCGATAATGAAAAGAGGAAGGCGGAAACAAATCACGCAATTCCATCGCACACTCTCAGTGATATATCCTGTAGAATATCTATAAGCTGGCAACTTTACCACGGTGTTCAAGGCTCTGCAGCTTCGCCTCTACTAAATTCGAGTCACCTATAAGCCTCTTGACACGCTTGTCGATTGAATCCAAGGTGATTTTATGAATTATTGTATGTAATTTTATTTTCCTATTACTTATTAAGAGCTATGATTTACACAGCACGCATACAAAAACAAGCCTGCGATACAACTTAAAATCTACCCTATTATTTGAAACGATCCTTCTTTAACAGTGGTTGTCCTTCAAGTTCAGTTTAATGCTTACTTGTTAATATATACGTATTAATATCCCGTTCCAGGTATGCAGTGGACCTAACAATATGCATTGACTTGTTTGGAGCCTGCTGTGTTTATCAGATAATAATAGCGAAGACGATCGAGCAATTAGTCGAAGGTGTTGACGACCAGAAAGACCTGAACCGGCTAAGATTATATGTATTAGCATTGTTAGTGCCAATAATGATGCTATGTATGATCACTACGCTCAAGTATTTGGCACCTTTCTCATTGTTGGCGGACTTATTTATTGGTATGTTTAAATACGTAATACCTGAATTATCACGCGCACAGTTCACGACTCCATTAGGAGACACAAATTGTTTCCAAATTCACGACCACGCATACTTATGGAGACGGATGGCGTACGTACGCAATTCAATGGCATATCTTTTCATTGAGGTTAGAGATCCTAATATGGATACGGCAGGACTTGAACATGTGTTCACACTGTACCGTAACGTTGCTCTGCTAACTGAGCTACAGGTCGAGTTCCAGGTCGGCGAAATTCTTCTATGTGTCTATTATAGATCTTTGTGCTGGTTTTACCGACTTCCAATGCCTTAAGTGACATCTTGTGAGAGATTTGTGAACCTTCTCGTTCAGCCGGTACCTTTATAGCTACTACAACCTGACGTTGATGTTGTTCTTTGATCAAATGTTTTATTGACTGTTTTAATTTCACGATTTTTTTACCACCTTGACAGATATATTTTTTAATACAAAGATCGAACGCAAAGAAAAATTATTTTGACCCGACAGGATTCTTGTCACTATTTTTATTTTTTCCTATGATAAGTATGTAGATAAGCGGTATGAAATTACCGCATGAGAGAAATAGATATTTTTTTAATTTCGTTTCTTAACATTATTATCTCGGTTTTTAGTTTTTGTTACAAGCACCTTTTCAAGTAACGGCGGTAGAATGTGTGTATAACGAAATGGAACCATAATGATCTTTTCTATTAGGACATTCTCTACTTGGTGGTACATAATTGTACCTATGGGGTGTACTCGGAGGCGTTATGGCTTTTTATGACACTAATTTATTATATGTAACCGCAAGTAATAAAAGGTGAGAACTTTCCTTTACGCTAAAGTTTAATATATCTTATTTCAGTTGTCTGCGTAGTAGCAACAGTCGTATACTGCCTGCGAGAAGCGCCTTCAATCTCTTCACGACCAGCTTGGAAGAATGCCTTGGGCTTCTTCGAGTTCAGCGGAATTGTAGTTTTCAGTATGGAAGGTGTTGGAGTCACTTTACCTATTGAGAACAATATGAAGGACCCTAAACAGTTTCCTAAAGTACTTTGCATGGGTACGTATACTGAAAAAAGAAGTTCATTTGAAGGTCACATTATATACACTAATTTATTTTAAGTTATCCCTCAGATTCCCTCAATTTACAATCTAAGCCCCAGAGTGTACTTTGGGGTTTAGATTGTAAATTGCTCAATTTCAAGAAATTCCAGTCATTCGTAATATACACATATTATGTGGTATGTTTGACGTATATTTTTTTTTGATTCTTTGATGTATCTCTAATAGTGTGTTGTGATATAGACATATACAGGGCGGCTACGATCTCAATTCCCACGGCTATGAGACACGGAGGGAAAGTAAATTAAATATTATGGATAGAATACTTTCCTTCATGGAATAAATATTTATTTTTTTAAAGTAAGAAATACAGTTTAGTACGTTCAAAAACTTTTAAAAGTTATTTTCTTCATCTGGGAATCGAAGCGACCAACGTAGTCCTTAATAAATTATAAATTCATGGTAGTGACCCGTTTACATCTGTCAAGTTATCTCGGACAATTATATACAACTGTTTATTTAGAAAGCCCTAGAGTTTCTTACTCATTCTCCTCAGGAGAATCCGCGTCACGAATGAGCAATAGAGTTTAACCAGTGCAAGTTTAACGATTGCAAGTTTAATTTATTCAAAATGAAATAAAAATATATTTGAATTAGATTTTTAATCTTAATCTCAAATAAAAGTAATACATTAAAGGAAATTGTATAAGATTCTCGTTTTAAATAGAAAACTACCGCGAGACTCAGACGTATTAACTAAGCCAATGTATTAAAGTCGCATTTTTGCTGGCCATGCTTCGAAACAGTCCTTGATCCTCAATCGTAGATTTCGCGGCGGTGACTCGACGGAAACTGTTCGACAATGCTCTAACAGCCCGGTCACTCGATACGTGCGTACAGTGCAACTTTAATAAGAATGAAGCAAACGAGAGTAGTTTGCTGCGCTCGCACCCGTTCTGAAGGACCGGACTGTCAGGGTCCGTCGAGTCACAGCCACGGAATCTCATGGTTAAGGACCACGGAGTGGTTCAAAACATTTCAAGCGAAAATTCGACTTAAATACATGAGTTATCCGTCAGTTTAATAAATATTCTCGTTATTACTAAAATACTGGAAATAAAATAATAATAATACATAAATAACGTGCCAAACAACAACACCAATTACTGATCTCAATTTAAGAAGTCCCTGTACGACGAGTACCAGAGCAACGAAATTAAGGGACACTGACCGGAACACCAGAAATAATTTTGAAAAGTTCATTTCCAGTTTGGTCCTTCGGGGCCCCCACATCGTCCACAGAGCTAATCGCTTTTCCACCATAGTAATCTACTAAATATACGAATAAGAATCAAGTTTTTTGTGTTTGAGGGAAAACAAAGCAAATTGTAGCATCTCTTGTGCTTTACATTCAATAATTTATGTATTTCAGGTATGACCGTGGTAGTAACATTTCTCATAATGGTTGGTTTCTTCGGATACTGGGGGTACGGAGAGAATTCTCTTTCTCCTGTAACTCTGAATTTTCCATCAGAAATGTGAGTACAATAATACAATATATGACTAACCTAAGTAATGCAATATATATAGTTTTTTTATTAAAAATCTATTGACAGTTGCTGCCATTAAGTTTTTGACTCTTCTGTTTAAGTTGTTAATTTTTTTGTTAAATCCGAAAACCGGGAGCATTATATCCAGTGTACATGGCTCTTTTGTGATTATCATCAACCCATTTTACAGTCTACTAGTGGACACGGGTTTCCTCTACTCCTCTACAGAGAGGGTTTAGTCTATAGTCCGCCATGCTGGCCCAATGCCGGTTGGCCGGTTGAGGATTTCACACGTTTTCCAGATTTTGTGAGCCTTTTGCGAGGTGCAAGCATAATCACAATATTTTCCTTTAATTTTAGTGGTGTTGCTACTTCACAAATGTACATAACTTGGAATTTAAAGTTATAGGTATATACTCAACCGTTAATTGAGAATACGCTATCACTGCTTCGTAACTCTCTCTTGTTGCCTTGACAAAAAAAACCTTCTAGTTTTATTATTTGGTTGCACAGAATCGCCCTGTGAAATGTGTAAATCATTTATTCGAATAATTACAATAATTTTACTATTCAACAGATTCCCGACGATTCTCAAATGTCTGATGGGTATAATGATTTTCATAACATTTGCTCTGAACTTCTGGGCTCCATTCAACCTGGTCTGGCATTATATGTCCAAAAAACATGATCCAAAGAAACATTGGATTTGGGAAAGGGTCTACAGAGCCACCTTCATCGTTGTTATTACTGCAATTGCTATTGCATTCCCTAACATTGGAAATTTAATGGGTCTGGTAAGGACGGTTTGAATACTTTTATAATGACAACTACCCATTTACGAAAATTTGTCACACCACTTTCGTCAACATCAGTAACTGGAAACACAATATTCTGCGAAACTAAAAGCCGAATCTCTCATGTGGAAGAAGTCCTCGTGCACGAGTTCGTCTAGAGAAATGCTGCCACCATGCCTATTCATTACTGCAATCCAGTTTTAAAGGGTGTGGGTGAAATAACAGGCACATGGGTCTTTAGAATTATAAGTGTCAAGGTGACACGCACAACGGCAGTATCCCTGTTGTTCGATAGGATCGTCGCTTACAACCACACTTACGACTTGTACGTCCAGTCACTTGATATCATAAAAAAATTCAGTCCCTTGTTTAAAGACTCAAAGTTCCTCTCTTAATTTTTACTTCCAACTTTAAAAGATGCTAGCCTCTGTTTCATCACCATTTGGGATTGTATGACAACATAAACAACTTCTTAACTTTTGTTTCAGTTGGGTGCCTTCTGTCTATCCAACATGGGCTTCATATTTCCAGCCATGATAGATCTTCTCGTCATCTGGCAAGATCCTGGCCTTGGCAAATATAAATGGCGACTTTGGCGAAGCGTCTTCGTCATTCTCATTGGAATATTATTGTTTGTAGCTGGTACTTATTCTAATCTTAAAGGGTTAATATCTAGTTTAAATTCTTAACTGCTAAATAAATGTCGTTTTGTTTATTATTTTACCTTTATATGTGATTCGCTCATTTAACAAGGTTCGAACGAATGCTTTACATGTATTTTGTACACTTGGTGTAGACTGGACGCTTTCAACCGACTTAGAAGTATACAGAGTAACTACTACTGATTATTTTGGGTATATTTTTTACTAACTTGCTTGATATAGTGAAACAATAAACTAAGTAGTTCTCAATTCAAATTATAATATAATACATAATAAATCAAATAATCACTAGACATGGCAATTTGTATTCGGATACATCCGAAAATCCAAAGATTGCCGAGAGATATTAAGAAAATAGTTGAATACAATATCTGCAAAGGTGGATGCCATCCATTTTTTTTTTCCTAATTTTCAACAAGGCCTTTAACACTACATTGTGTGCCGGCCTCATAGGGAATCTCAAATTGTGTGGTCAGTTAGGGGCATTTTTAGATTTGATGCAATAGGTTACGTAAGTATAAATCTTTTTGGCTGTTTTCTGTAAGAGGTTTCCCAAAACAATATTTATATCTCCATTACGTCCAATCTCCTCACCTCCAATTTTTGCAGTAATCGCAGAGGGGTGAGGCTTTGATACCTATTAAGTGATAAAATGTATTTAGTCGAATGTGAGCAGATCTGATTCTAAATACTGAAACAAGATATTCCCTAGAGAGGCCCGCACCGTCAAACCACGGCTTTCGAGGACGTCGCTGTTCTATCGTCCTATACCAAATGCCTCTTGCTAGTGAAATTTCCTCGTAGTCTTTATCCCAAATATTTAGACAAATATCTCTAGCTAGAGGAATAAGTTCAGTAGCAGTCGGTTTACAAAACATGCTCACACCATCAGATATAGCTTCGTTAGCAAGTTTATCCGCCTCGTCGTTACCTAATATGACTACGTGTGATGGAATCCATTGCATAATGATCGTACGATTTTTTATACTCAGTTCGTATATCAGTTTCAGAGTTACATAATGCTATTGGTATCCCTAAATTACATTTGACCAAGTGTTGTAGCGCACTTCTAGAATCTGTGGCAATTAGAATCTTATCTCTCCGTATGGACTTAGTGTAAGATAATGCTTCCGTGATAGCTGATAATTCCGCCCTCATGATACTAGCTTTATTACAAAGCTTAAATTTCATTGATACGTTCTCCTGTGGCTCAAAGAAGGCAGCGCCTTTGTGTTCCTTAGAACCATCTGTGAATATTGTGTAGAAATCATGATATTTGTTACCCAGCTCATTCAGAACACTTTGTCTTATGTTATATGCGCGACTTTGATGTTTGTCTACAGAAAGTTTGTCAATGTAATGTAACAAGAGTTCGTATTAATAAAAGATATCCATATGCCTAAAGAATACATAGGTAAAATGTTACGTTGATATAAAGCATGTTCTTTAAATTTTGTACATGATTCTACAATATTGGTTTCTTTTTATTATGCCAATAACTATTCTGACATAAGTCGGAAAGCTTCAGTACAGATTCCTCAAAAGAAGAATCCGAACGGGAATGAATTGTTAACCAATAACGGTACGCGAGCCATAACCTCCTCACCGACAGAGGTGGAAGACACAGCTCGCACATGGATCGGAGTTGTCCTAATAAATCCACCACAAATACGCAAAGCTTTATTTTGAATCAGATTCAGTTTTCTTACGTGGTATTAGCACAATTACCTTCCAAAAAGCTACGTAATCTATTCGGCTTCTTACAAGGGATATGTATAGTTTGCGTAAATGTTTATGGTGTACACCCCAGGAACATCCCACTAGTATTTTTAAGATGCTCAGGTATTTGTAGACTTTTTCACACGTTTCTTTTATATGCGCACTCCACAATAACTTAGAGTCCAAAGGATAGTTTTCTCAAAGACAATCATTGCCACCGTATACAATCCTAATCAGGAAACCAATGCACTTTTGCTCATAACCTAACTAAAATATTGATTTTGTAGTTCAGAAAACTCAAAAATCTATGCTTGATCGTCTCCGATGATAGATTTTTTGGCATAGGTACACAACGAACTTGCCAGACCTACAAAGTACATTCTAGGCGACTAGTTACGAAGGAGCAGTACAGATCTTTAAAGCTTGAGCTTTTGCAGAAGTTGGAATGCCAAATACTTTAGATGCTTTTCTCATCACATGGTCAATGTGCTTTTCAAAGAGTAGTTTTTCCTAGCTACCGCTGAAGCTTTGATATAAAAAATCTAAGCGGCTCCAACTACCATCGCAAAATCACGCAGATTGGAATAATTCTCTCCAACACCAGCACTAGCCTATGTAGCGCCCGGATGCAATCAATACCCTGGTGCTCTCTAGTAGGGCACGCCATCAAAAGGGATACTTAAGGTTATATTTTCCCCAATATATCGGAAATTCGAGTGCAAATGGTGCAATTATAAAAGATGTTGGGAAGCAATAGCCCGTTACGCTTCGCCTGCATCGCGAACGTCGCAGGCACTTTGAAGGTATTGTCGTCACGAGTAGGTCTCGGCGCCCCTTCAGATTCTGTGCCCATGTGTGCCTCACCCTGCACCATAGGTAAAGCCGGCACTGATTCTCTCAGAATCCGACATGTACAAACTAATTAAATAACCGATCCTATCTACATACTCAGGTTCTGTTCAACTGTTAATGTATAAATTAACAGTTTTTATTTTCATTGAATACCTTTATTTGTACAAGTTTGTATGATTACAGCTTTATTATTTACTATTAGAGGGAGCAATATTATACATTTGAAAGTGAAAAACGAAATGTTTATGCGAAGTACTCATCTACTAAGTAATTAAGTAGTACCTTCAGACCCCGCTCTTCAACTCTGACGTACACAAAGTCCAAAAAAGAATTAAAAAAAACAAAATAATATTAGGGACTTTAAACATTACGATTGTGTACGTATTATTACAGTTTCATGGCTATTTAAAACATCGCCTATTTTTAAAGCTATGAAATGTATTGGAAAAATCTTTGCATGTCGTTGTAATCTATCTTTAGATATCTTATTAGTAGAACTTATTTTAACTAATCGATTAAATAGGTGGGAAGAAACACTTAAACCCAAGATGATCTGTCTTTAAATTTGTTTCAAAACATCCTAAATGCTCACAAGCCTAAAGCAAAGACACTATGATTCTGTTATTTCTCTACATTATGTTAAGTGCCATAACTAGCGTGAAGATTAATCAACGCGAACTGCTTTACGGATCTCACTTTATATTTGCCTCGGCAAATCGATTAAGTACACTTGTACTAATGAAGGAGGTGTCTTTCAATTGTACTCAGTCTATAGTCATGCCTTTAAGCAAGTGCTATTCTTAAGTATGATATAATATTAACAAACACAATGAAGATCTCATCCCTACTCTGTTTTAGTTTTATTTGTGTTTTCTTGGAAGCTCGACCGGTAAGTAATGACAATAATATCTATCAAATTTATGTATGTCATAAATTTCTTACAGACTGCATAAGAACAGTGTTGCAAGCATAACACTACCTGTGCTCATCAACACAACAAGAAATCTATCCTAGATTTCAAAAATAACATTGTCTTCGAAGGTACGCATATGGACGTTAATATCAAATTCCACTGCGCCCGTCACCCTTAGACACAAGTTCACAAATGACATGTGCCTGTAATTTCACCAGTACCCTTACCCTTCAAAACCCAGTACACAATAATGCTAACATTACTGCTTGGCGACAGAAATAGATAAGGTGGCAGTACTTCTCTAGACGAACTCTTTCACAAAGAGCTCTAATGCTATTATGCATCCTGTAGCCTCCATGTGAGTAGAATGAAAATGATTGAATATGTGTAGGAGGATGTGTGGGTTAAAAGAGAAAAACTACCATATAAAATTTAATAAACTTTCGGTTTCATCATAGGTCAGTTCATGGATTTACTCCACTACTCTACTACATTTCTTCTTCTTCATGTGTCATCTGTCTATGAAGGTCGGCGATTATGATGGCAATCTGAACTTTGGACACTACAGATCAGACTACGTTTACATTCTATTTTATTTGTGTATGTATGTCTTGACTATATATTATGTGAACTTAAAAAGCCATAACGTTTTACATGTTTATATTCAAATTTTGGTATGTCATTGTAAGATAGTGTTACACCGCCTAGACTTTTTGGGATGTCATTTTTAATTTTTAAATTAGTTCTTTAACTAACGACCAATATAAAAAAATTACATCGGCAGAACTTTACATGTCAGATACAGAACAACATTTTACACTTAACTAGCTTCAAAATATAGCCGATAATAATCCTAGTTACAAACCATCTGTACACTAAATTTCATCAAAATCCATCAAATTGTTTCGGTATGATTAAGTACTTTAAGTAGATCTATCTATTGAAACATATTTTCGTATTCATTATTTGAGAGTTAATTTAAAAACTAATCGATTGACTGAATTGTACTACTCAGTAAATGATACAAAAAACCAAAAGCATTTTTTTTTGACGTAGGTACCAATGCTGCCTTGAAAGTCCTTGTAAATTTTACTATTAGGTTTTTTTCTTCTCTTTACATACTAGTTACATTTACACTAAATAAAGTTTTGTTTACTATGTTGTTCAGGTGCTAATAGAGCCAGTAGCAAAATAATTGGATTTAAGTCACGATGCTATAGTTGACTTAAATGGTTCTGTAAAACATATTGGTCAACGCAACCGAACGGTAGAACAAATGAAATGAATTTGAACATTGTTTTCATTTTAGGATGACTACAGTCCTACTTCAGAGACAGAAAGTAAAAGTTTAGAGATTGAATCCCGTGCTGCTGAAGTCGTTAACGAAACTCTTAGTAATAACGTTGAAAGAAATGGAAAGAAAGAAGAAATAATAGAGTTACTGACTTTACTGCCTGAATTAAAAGCAGAAAATGACGATTCTGAATCGGATAATGCAAGTGATAGTGACCGTGCTGAAATAAAGGACGAATCAAGCGAGAGATATGGTAACAATGGACAAATCATTCTTGATGATATGAAACACATAGAAACACCAGAAATTATTAAACGTGAAGATCGTGACGGGAAATCAAACGAAAATATAGAAGTACGGCGAATGGTAGACGATGATGATTCAAATGAAAATACGTCTGAAGAACGATCTGAAGAGTCCAGCGAAGAAGAAATAAGTGAGTTAGAACAACCAGCACTTCTTCAAAATACGAGAAGAATGATTTCATATCCTACGGAAAAACCTGTGGATGTGGTAACACTGCCGGGTGATTTAGCTGACCAGAATCTAGGTATCAAAATTAGTTATAGTAGTATAGTAACTCACAACACACCCGAGTTTATATGAGGTAACATACGTAACATATTACTTATCTTTGGCATACCTCTGTAAATCTTATATTAGATATACAGGAAGTATTTGGAAATTCCTTTTATCGAGAAATTCTTCTCTATTGCTCTAAATGCTTGACGCTAGGAGTGGAGCCATCTAAACGATTATTGCTTCTCTACTTGGACCATTTCCCTGTTCGACAAAATTAGTGGGATCCCGAAAATTTTGTCTATTATATATATATCCGCTATATATGTCCGCGTTGCCGCCTTGCAGTGACTGCGTGCATCTGTGATGACAAATTACATTCTATTTATTAAGCTTTTACCTTAAATTAAATAAAAGTAAAGTTTTAACTTAAATGAGCGTTCCGTGCACTCGGGCGAGTCTGGCTTGAATCTGGTCTTCGCGACGGTCCGAGCGGCGACCGCTGTGACCGGGGTTACGCTTTGTATATACTTTCAAACTTTCGCGTTGCATTGTACTAATATTTGGAAATAAAAATAAACGCGTTCACATACGAATATGTATTTATCACACCTACCTAGTTTCCCGACGTTTGGCCAGGTTGCACTGGCCATGGTCACGGGCTGACTGGTGTCGCAGTGTTTACATCTCCAACTCGGCGGTAAAATCTTCATCCACTCGCATTATATTTTTTAAACTACCACCACACACAACACTAACGGTGTCTCAGATAATTTACCCTCCCGATTGAAATTATTAGGACGTTTTTGATTTCAAAATGAAATTTGTGCCTCTTTCCAGTAAATGTTCTACAATCACTGACTTATTACATTGGCGATTTTTTACAGCTACGATATGTTCTTTGACCCTTTCAGTGACAATTCTCTTCGTTTGATCTATGTAGCAACTACCGCAACTACAGTCAATGTTGTAGACGCCAGCCCCCGTAGCATGGCTACGCATGATAGTCGCGACGCGCGCGATATAATCTAAATTAGATCTGATTGAGACAGCCAACAGCGCGCTTATTTCAAGAAAATTTCAAGCTTATTTGAGGTTTTTGATCTTGTCCGTCACTCCTTTAACATAGGGCATGTAGGCTGGATGTCTATTCCCCTCCGGATGCCTATATCTGCTTTTTGGCTCTTTTCGTTATCGGTTCACTTGGTATCCGTACCTCGTGAACATGATTTAGCTCCTGCTTCAGATGCTTAAGGTCACAAAGGTTGTAAGCTCTGTTTTTTAACGTGTGTCGTTATTATGGACTGCAAGTGACGTGTATGGTGATGCGAAGTTGCATGTCTGTGTGTGTTGGTTTGCTATAAACACAGTGCGTTAAGAACCCATTGGACTTCACGGTAATTGTGACATCCAAAAAGGCAACGACCTGTCCGCCTCCATCTCGTACGTAAATCTTATGTTAGGGTGAATGGAATTGCCGGGCGGCGTCGTGGTGAATGTGCACCGACCCCACGGCGCCGACTCAACCGGCGGGAGGTAAACCCGGGGGGGCTTTAGTGGGGTAGGCCCTCCAGTCTGGAAGGAGAGTCCCCACATAACCCCTGATTCTCCCTGGGCTCAGGGGTATCTATAAAGATTTAGACTTAAAAACTCAATATTCGCGATCGACTGCTTACCAGAATGTGGCTGTGATAGAGAATAGTGACATCGTTAATGTTGTATGTGGCGGTAGTTTAAAAAATATAATGAGGGTGGATGAAGATTCCACCGCCGACACGGAAATGTAAATACCGCATCACCAGTCAGCCCGTGACCATGGCCAGTGCAACCTGGCCGAAACGTTGGTAAACTAGACTAAAGGTAGGTGTGAAAAATACTTATTCGTAGGTGAACGCGTTTATTCCCGTTTCCAAATGTTATGCTTTGTAGCTTGTCAGCGGTATAGTTTAAACTCCATTTGTAATGGAACTTTGAACGTCAAATTTGGCAATGTGTTTATTAACCTATTTAGATACTTCTTTAGTTGCGTTTCCATGTACCTGTTTTCTTACACATTTATTTGACGTTAATCGACAAGGTTCAACTTTTACGGTTTCACAATAAGACCTGATCATAGTTTAAGTTTCACAAGAGTAAAACATTTACAGAGTTTATTATTGTTTCAGAGTCAAGAGCAGCACTTGGATTAACTCCAAGGATTCCGCGTCTGCCTTTACAGATACCAAAAGTGATAACCAGTCCAGGCCTCCCAAATCCTTTTTCGTTCACCACACCTATCCCATATTTGAACCCAATTAAATTACAAAACTATCCAAATACTGGTACATATTTGAAACGGTTTCCTTTAGATTATCAGAAATCATTGCCTGGAATGCTAAAATTATCGAAATCAGACTTTCCACGACCAGGGGCGCCATTGATTGATGATTTTGCTGCAGAAGCCTACGGCAATGCTTACCCTTTCATTTCTTCTACCTCGGCACCTTTGGATATTTTTCCTCAAGACATCTTTCCCAAGAACCTTTACTCTAAACTAATGCAGGCTTCTGAACATCCTGTCCCATACCAACCAGGATTATACAGCCCATTCAGAAACACTGGTTACCCAAATGCGAATTTCTTTTTGGGACAAAAAGACCTCAAACTCCGACCTCACACACTTAAAAGAAACTTATAACTTTTTAATACAAATATTAATAGTTTTTAAGTCGATTAGATACAACTTTGACTTTATATTAATCAAAACAGTTGATAGAAGTGAGTGAAATAAAACCTGAATCAAGGGCCGATCAAATGATTATATTCAAGAAAACGCGTTAGTGCAATTTACATTCCACACATAATGTAAATTGTGTAAAGTGCAAACTAGACACGAGCCAAACTTCACACAGCTACCGTATCGTATCTTGTTTGTACGTTACACAATAATTGACGTAAAGTTCATTATGCTACGTACAATTTCGTTATAAAAATTCGGGAATGTAATTTGAGCTTAACGGACAAAAGGTGACTTAAGTGCAGCAAACTCGTGCGTGTTGTGACTCTCCGGTGGGCGGCGCGTGTTTACGTCCTTATAGTACCTAGCAGCTTGATCAAAGTTATGGCTACCCTTAGTTAGACCCAAACGTTGATAATACGAATCCGCGCAATCTGTACTCACATTCGTTTTTGCTTTATACACCTTGGCTACATAGTTTTGAAGTGTACCTAAATAGTTCTCCAATTTAATTAACGACGCTGACGTTTAGAGGAATGCAAGAAATCCCCGAAATTTATAGCTACATTAGTAATAGATATAAATATAATATTATAACAATCATAAAGTAAGAAGATTACGCCTTAAAATAAAGTTTAATGTACCTAAATCTGATGATGTTTTACTTTAACCCAATCTTACCAATTCGCACTAAATTCAAGATAAAAAATATTTTAGATTAAATGAATGACAGTTTCGAACTATCAGTAAATGGGATTATAGATTACACTGCAGACAATGGTAACAAGCAACTGCGTGTCACACCTGAATTGGAAAATACACTTCTCATCAGAAAAATCAAAACACCTTGATTTCACCAAAATTTATGTTTTGTAAGGAATGTCAGAAAAATGTTATATTTAGGAATATATGTCAAATGTCGTTCAATAGTGAATAATATGAGCATTGCTAAATAAATACCCTCCGTACTACCAACAAAAACATCTCAAATAAAATGTAGTAATACACCGCCAATCCTGCACTTAAAAAGCACTAATGAAATTTTTGGTGTACTTGTATAAATATGATAAGATTCCGTTTGAGTGGTTCTAACGTTTACCATGAAATTACTCCTTAAATTGTAGTTTATAAACATTTATATTCTTAAAAAACGCTACTTACGGTATGTTTTCAATAAATAAACACCGAAATCACCAGCCCAAACAATAACACACACGATTGTCGTGACGTCTTTTTGAAGTTGTTTACTTTTTTTAAATGACAGACCCAGGCATTAAAAACTTTATGATTTGCTAGAGTAGTTATCGAAACAGCAATTAATATTAGTTCTTTTACCTGTTATAACTTTGATATCCGGATAAATCGGTATAAAATCTGTTTGCTGCAGTTGAGAAGCGTTAAAAGAAGTTATTACAATAAATCGATCATCTCACTCAGAAGTGACCCGATTCCTACACGATCCTGAACGGCGCGTGAATAATCCAGTCTCCCGAAAGCGTTTGTAGACTCTATGCACAGACGACAAGCTTAGATGCAATCTTTCAGCCACAACACGCTGACTAAGTCCAGAATCCAGCAATGCCACCACTTGGGCGGCTTCTGCGGGCGAAGTATCCATATGTTTTAGAAAAAAAAACTTTTTCAGACGTCCCAAAGCCACAGTAAACAAATAAAGAACAAAAAGTTTTAAGATAAGCGCAAATTTTTAGTTTTCAAAGGTAAAATGTACTCCAACTCTAAACACATATTTGTTACAAAACAGCGAATCATTTCATTTATAGGATAAAGAAATGAAATTCTAACTTTAAATTTTGAATTTTCGCTTACCGTTATAATGGCCAAACTGCCAGCTATACAATCATGTGATTTTTTTCATGGAATAAAAACTCTTTTGTGTTAAATTAGGACAGAAATCATAAAAACGGAAGTGTTCCGATTTTTCTGATGAGAAGTATATAAGCAACTTAGATCACGCTCAATTGCATTGGCTACCTGCATATTTAAAACTCAACCTATACTTAGGTTACTCTACGCACCACAACAACAATTACAACACGAATGGGTACAGATTTAAATTTTTTGACTAAAAGGAATTACACTAACATTCAGATTTGAAACAGAGATAGATTTTGAAACATTAAATTCTCAAAAACAGCACATCTCAGCTCACCACCTACTCTCGCCAGCTAAATTGGAAATGAATTTTGAAAAATACATTCCAACCACATTTTAATACATATTTCCGACAAAAAGTATCATTATTCACAAACCCCTTTCCAACGAACGGAAACGATAAAAAAAAGGAATAAATGAAACATTTTTATATCGCAATAAAATTCGTGATGCAAAAATTAATTTCAAAATTCAATTACATAAGAACAAAGGTAAGATTATTAAAATTAAATCAAATATTGTGAAGTCATGAAGTTGCAATGAAGTTCCTACTTTTACTGTATTTAATTTACTATCTTATTGAAGTAAGTAAAAGTAAATCTTTTACTTTTCTTAAAATTAGATAACTTATTCCTAAAAAATAAATATTTAAAGTTGAACCAGTTAAATCATATTTAAACTCACTATAGATTATAGGTAAAACTAGCAAACTGACAAATGATTAGAAATAATAATATGGAGTTACGACCAGTACCTAGTAGACACAATAGAGGAGGTGATTTTTGAAGCAGCCTATTTAGGAGGCCTTTTAAGTAGACAGTCTTGGATTCTATATGTCTCGTGATTCTGCACCACCTTAACGTGGAGTATAACTATCACCTACATGCCCGAGAAAGTCCAAAAACCTATTCGAATACCTATGAAATCAACACCTGAGATGAAACTATTCCTTAGAGATAATTTATGGTTCAGACCAGCACGTACCGTAGTGGTGTGTGTAGACCGGTGATGAAAATGAAGATAATAATGAACAGGTTATCGGGCCACCGTAAAAGAGCAGGTCATCTGCAGCTAAAGTAGCAACATCTCTCTGTTGCGATTCCAGCCAACCCCTATACCAGGCACTGCGTTTAATCCCTATCCTCCTTTTATTGAGTAAGCCAGGAAGGAATACTTTGGCCCGCTTTTTAGCGTTAAGAACTAACACATTTAATGTATTTCAGGGCTCGGATAGCTTTAAAGATGACGACGACTCTTTATATCCGCGAGTGTACTATTTGAATCGGCGAGGTGCTCTATCAACATATATGCAGAAAAACAAAGTAAAATTACTTATTTGTAAATCTCTAATTTCGGCCGAGACGTAATCTCGTTCCTGTGTCACTTTACTTCATATAAAAAGAAATACTATGTATCTCGTACGAACCAGCGCTGCGTGACGCCACCTGGGACCGTTGCGATGCGTTGGTTGCGAAGCGTTTATGGTTTTTGAAGATAACCTTATGAAATTTTGTGCAATACTTGAAAAACAACAACAGCAAGGTCGTGTCCATGCTACTTTTAATTTGACTTTATTGACTCTGAATAATAAATAATTGACAGACCTACTTGAGTGCGAAGTCGTTTCAGGGACTATTTATATATGTCTTATGTTATAATTATGTTTTGTTGTTGTCTACTATATTGGTGTTCTACATATATAGATACATGTATAGACATGGCTACAAGGAGGGAAGGAGGGAGGGATTTCCGGAAATGGTTTTACTGCATCGTAGGACAAACTACTTACTTACGAAGTCGAAGTTGGATTTTAAAATAATCCAATCCATTATGCCAGAAAGATAAACAAACCGGTTTGGTTAAAATTCTAAAGCAATCAATGGAATAAGTAACACATTCACGTATATTTTGAAGATTTCGACTTGATATCTCATCACTTTTTCCAACAATATTCATTTCAATAACATATTAAATATTAGTTCAAAAGTAAGGTTAGTAATCAAATATAGATTTGTGAATAGTCTATGGTTGCATAGGGCTGTACGGAAACATTGGATTGGAACAGACTGCAAATAATGCAGTAGATAATTGACCTTTTACCAAAACGGAGAATAAAAAATTAACGAGAATGGTCACACTCTGCCCCTCCCTAGCTTTAAGTACCGCATACTGACGATCACATTGACGGAACGGCGACATTTGCTAGTAGAACTTAGAAAAAAAAAATATTTAGAATTTTATTTACGAGTTGTAATCTAAAAATAATCTCGCGAAATGTGAATCGCGGATAGTCATCCATTACCCGCGATTAAGTCGCAAATAACAGGTTACACAACAACGCTGACGTGGTACTACCAGGGCCCCAGAGTCGAAAATTACAAAAGTTACATTTTTGTCTACAGAACTACAAAACAGCAGAATAACAACTTTTCTGACAACAGTTTACGATAACAGTTGTTGAAAATTCGTATAACACTGACAAACAGCCGTTTTTGCCATGTCTAGTAGGGTGGTGATTGTGTCAACACTGCACTAGGTTCCTTTACGTTTAGATTCCACTTTCCATTTAACATCAGGTGGAGTCACCTGCCTGTCACGTATAAGTATGTTCCAACCACATCTTTGACGTAAAATCCAAACTACCAGAATACAATACTACCAAAAGTGTATGAAAGATGTGACACTAATGGAAGAAAATAATTATATATTTCAGGTCTGTAGCGAATAGAAATTTGTGATCTTTGTGTAGTTTGCCAGTTACATATATAATATAAAAAGTATATTTTCAGAAAAATCTCCCGAAACCACTTCGCAGTGCAAACCAACTCGGTAAACTCCCATCGCCAAAAGTGGAGGTAAAGAAAACAATTAAAATTCCCAGAGACCAAAAGGTAATTTAATAATGACTTCTTTTTATCGTATCTACTCATCAATAAACTGGTAATGCTTGCTATCGTGGTCAAAGGATTTACCGCTCGGCGTAAGATACACGCCGATTACGACTTACGAGGCTCGGAGGAGGGGAGGCTCCTTCCGTGCACCCCACATTTTTTTCATCTTATAATTACTATTAAAGATGAAAAAAAAAATTAAGCTTATGTGAGTTCTGAGATGTACGTGAATTGAAAAGAAATTTAAATGAATATCCAATTCAGGCCACTCAATTCTAACGGTGATAACCAGTGAGATTTTTATATAACCCAAATTCATTCAATAAGTTTTAATTTCACTTATAATTTGCTTAGGGAACCATTATCGTTGGCAACCCTAATGATTTTAATTTTACCACTTTGTCAGAAGAAATGAGTTTTTCAAAATTCTGCAACATGGCGAACGGTTAAATCTCGGTTCTCAACTAACTTTTTGTTACTAATTTTCTTTCAGATACCAGCAGTTAAAGCCAAAAGCATTAAACGGATAAGACCTTCGGTTAGTATACAACGCTGATGCCAACGAGTAGTGATTTTGACTTCAGTATTCCATCAGAAGAAATCAGTACAAAAATATTTCGTAATACGGCGGCCAGAATCTCAATTGTCGGCTAACTTATTATAACTATTTTTTTTTCAGAAACTGAATGACAAAACCAAAAAAAATAAACGGGCAAGCTCGAAGGTTAGTTCACAATACCAACTTGAGACACTTCAAATAGGAAGTAATTCAAAGATCCAACTATTTTGGAGATCACTGTATCAAACAATTTTAGCAAAAAAATTATGTTACGATTGAAACATAAAAAGTTTTACTTCTACTAGCAATTAGACACGAAGCTGAAGTTGTGGCTGGACCTTTTTGTTTACACCTAATAATATTATTATGACCTGAAATGCTGAAGCCATGACAAAAATTCACCAATAAAAATAAGAAAGTCCAAATATTTTCAGTTTAAAAATTTGGACATTTTGGAAATTTCTATGTGTAACTTATACGTGGTACTAGAGTCATCAAAAGTGACTATACCATTTTATGGTTTAAATCTTGGTGCAACAATATTAATTCGACCTTGATATTTCTTTCATTTCAGAAAACAGTGCTAAGGTCAGGAAACAATGGAATAACAAAATGGAATAAAAACATTTTTTCGGTTAGTTGGCATAAAATAAATCATTATACTTATATACTATTAGGTATTTATTATTTCTGATATATCTAATATGAAACGAGAGAGAATGATAAAGTAAATTTAAATTGATCATTAAATGACCTCGCTCTATATGTGAAATATGTGGATACAGAATTTAGTAGAAACAATACAATTAGTTGACGTAAATTCTAGGGTACAAAACCTTCAAACGACAAATTTGGAACTCATATAAAAGCACTTACGTGTATATTTGTGCATAGATGTTTAAAGAATAAAGGAAAACTGTAGCAATATTCATAATTTAGATACAATATTGGTATCTTAAGTCCCGTTGTAGTTTTCATATTGCGAATTTTTAATCAAATATTTGTGTATTTTAGAACCACGATGGTTTATCTTATGAAGACCGTGATTCGGTTGAGACGCAAGAAGGTGTCAACTTACATTATGACTATCCCGGAGACATACCACAAAAATTACAAGTGGTAAATGAACTCAGCTAATGTAATGTAACTTTCGCGTGTTATCTGGTCTCAAACATGAAAATTGGTATTAACCTCAACCAGAAACTTTATTGTTGAAACTAAGCAAGCATTAAAAAAAATCTAATTTGTAGGTCAATACTGTGACAAGTGACACTGAACTTAACGATTATCAAGAAAATGAGAAGGATACCGCAGAAGTAAGAATACATGTAAAATAAGCTTATGTTATAACAATAAATACATATACTTATCACAAATTGGATAGAGGCTTCCTTAGGGTAAGAGCTTCAGTTTTATACACCCCATGAAATTTTAAAACAAGTTGAACACATTATATAATATTTTGAACAAAAAGTAGAGGAATGGCTTAAATTTTACTATTTTCTGTCGTCGTTAAACTAATAGAAGAACCTATTATAAATATTCTGGGATCTTCCTTGAACATCAGTTGACGCAAAACCTTTCTTCGATCCTAGCTCATAAAAAAATTTACTTATTAATTCGATAAGCGGCATTAGAAGCGGCCAACACTATACATATGTCAAATATATCAATATGCTTATTCATCAGTATTTGGAAGTTGATTACAGAAATTTGAGGAAGGCTAGAGAGCGCATAAGAATAATTTTTGTTTTACCTAAGATGTTACGATCTCTCCACATATTTGCATTATCACTTCCTGGTCATCTTTTTTCTGTCACATCTCAGTCTCACAAGGATCATTCAGGAGGAAGAAGAAAATATTGTGTAAAATATAGTAAATACATGTTGTCTGTAGAATTTAAATTAGTTAAATCATACCTCTTTGCTTCATTACTTTAATAATATATTTAAACAAGAGCTACACAAAAACTGTAAAAAAAAAGTTTCTCTTACTCGACGATTATTGAAGATAATTAAACTCAAGTAGTTCAACATCTCGCGCAGGAATTTGTATTGTTGAATAGGTATTAATTGATAAATATTATTCTTTGCCTTAATATTCTAAATAAAAAAATATGAAATTGATTACCAAAGCAGCTAAGTTCATACTTACTTATAAATGTTTTTATAGGTCGCATCTACGATCAAATATGACAAGTACATTGAATATATAAATCCACAAGGGATGCGCAACGACAATGAAGAAGTGAGTATATGTACTAGTAATAAGAACCCTTGTACTATTATAATTTTTTATGATACTGACATTGGGTAACAGTCTGATGAAGCAAATGATGGACAACGGCAACAGCCACCTCTTTAGACATTATTTGAGAAACCAAAATGCTTTGCCGGCTATGGTTCATAAGCCCTTAAGTCTTTTAGCTAGCTTACCTATTACTCAAATACTCTAGCAGTAGAAATAGACAAGGCTTTACAAGAAACTCTGTTTGTGATATCCTTCTTTTCTCTATGATAAAACTCTCTGCTTAAATGACACCTGGTTTTAATTACTAGGATGTTTGCTCCTGCCTGAGGAGCCTAATATAACAGTTTGTTTACAGGAAAAGGATTTGCCCAAAAACTATAAAAATGAAATTGAAGCAGGAGAGTTAGCCGACATGGTGCAGAATAAACGTCATTTTGTTCCAATGAAATATGCTTATGATGACTTAGGACGGCGTTTTGTGTTGCAATATCCGTACACCGAAGTTCATGTTAGTTTATTTATTTTAGGTTATTAAAGGATCACTGAATTGACTTCAGTAGACTAGCAGCGGTCATATTCTGAAACCATGCAGTTAATGTGAACGTTTAGCATATTTTGAGTGGTTCCCACTGCCTCACAGTTAGGCGCCACCTTTCTATCTTTTATTATGACAAATCGTTCGTTTTCTGGAACTTTAAAATTTATATCCACATGTGAGATCCACATTATTTATTATTCTGTTATTAACCGACTTCCAAGTTCTTCTTATCGTATCGATGTCTTACACTATGTTATCGCAGCCCAGAACCTACTTAGCCTCGCTAACTACGCTACAAGTGGTTGCGATGATGAACTGTGGATGTATATTAGGTTTGCTATCATGGTGAAAAGATTTGTCAGGATGTGCAAGACAGACTGAGTATACGATTTGTGTACAGAGATAATCAAAATGTAGTTAATCACAAGGTCCAATTTAACAATTATCTTTGTGTTTTAATACGAATATTTATTACTGAAATTACAGACAGAAGATTCGGATATCGAGAGTACGGCTGAATCTCAATTGGATACAGCTATCAACGAGGTATTTATTATGATTACTATAGCATTCTAGGTAAACAAAATCTGTTCGTTATATTAAATATAATATTCAACATTTATGATTCCAGGCCATGCAACAAAACATTGAAGATGAAAGACTGATACCAGTGAGGGTAAAATAGACATTTTTAATGCCTTTGTAATTTTTCAAATATCTGTCCGCATGAATTGACAAAGTGACATAAAGTTGTAAATTATCATGTAAATATTTAAGACTATTGATCAAAATCGACCACATTACTATGAATGTAAAGTGCACTTTCAAATGTGTTTAGATGAATTTCATTAAAATAATAAATATGAGGTTGATTTTTATCAATTTTGTTCAAATATTTGTAAATACAGACTTTGATCCTTAGAACAATTTAGACAACTTTGCACTACCTAAAGCGCTAAAAGTCTTTATTCCCACGACCACCACGTCGATTGAGGTTCCGGTTGATTTATCATTGTTTGGATTTTTTTCATTATTTGCAGGCTAATCCAGGTTTAGTGCTTTCTATTGCGAGCGAATCAGCCCGTCTTGAAATGTCGAAACCACCTGACCCTACGCGAGAAATTATACAAAATACTTTGCTAAGAACAGGTGTAAGCTGAAAAATATTTTTTTACACACAAATTTTTATGACATTAATTAACGGGACGAACAAGTCGTACGCCTGGTGGTAAGCGATACGCCCAGTCATAACTATTACATTACTATCGCCACTGTGTCCGTCACCTGAGATGTAAACCTTGCCTAACAAAACCGGAACGCAGTAATGCTCACACTGATTGACGGCTGAAGTATGGTAACAGTTCCTCTGAATGAGCTCTTTCACAATAAACCCTTTGCTACAAAAAAAATGTATAAAAGTCGAGAAATTTCTCAAAATGCCTAATATTTTTGAGCACCATTAAGTGGTTAAACAAGGCGACTTAAGCAGCGATGCAAACACGCGTTCATGAAACACGCAATTGCATCTTTACACTTGCGATTTCTAGGTGACTGCTTCGATGCAAACGCGCGACTGCATCGATACAAACTGCCTCTGTGGCCGAACGGTTCCATGCCGGACTGCCACGCAGAAGTCCCATGTTCGATTCCCGGGCCGGGAGAAATATTTGTATGGCCTACATTTATTTCTCTCGCGAGTTTGGGTGTAATTTGTGGTTGTCTATGTGTGTGTCCATGGCACTCGTGCCACAGGGTTTTCCCTAGTGCGCGGCTATGTTGAGTGTGTGCGATATTATTATTATTATTATTAAACGCACGATTACATATATGCAATCGCCTATAAACCGGAAGTGTCGCGATGCAATCGCGCGTGTGTGTACAGGTATATTAGCGACTGCATCGTTACTGCATTGCGTTTACATCGCGTTTGCATCGCGTTTGCGTCGCGTTTGCATCGCTGCTAAAAGTCATCGTGTGTAACGCTCTTTTGCTACACAGCAAGTTCATGAGTAAATTTCTATATTTGTATAATAGAACAAATAATATAGCGATGATGGCCCAGTGAAAGTACGGCTGCTTCTCAAACGAGTGGTCCTTACGGAGGCATGTATATGCCTGTGACCTTAATCTTTCTAAGTAGCACATACACTTCTTAATATTTGTATCAATACCTCTCACTAACGGTAAAGAGAAGCATCGTGATAAAACCTTCGGAAAGTTCGTGAAGTCTCCAACCCGCATTGATCCAGCGTGATTGTACATCATAGCCTCTTCTTATAGAAGAGGACGACGATGATGATGAGAAATAAATAATACATATTTTTTTATTGCAAATTTAGAATTACTGGAACAGTTACTGGAAGGAAGACGTGCCAAATCCTGATGAAGTGTTCCTGCGCTCCCAGAAAAAGAAGGTAATTACAGAGTTTGACGTAGAAATTTAAGTAGATATCAACTGGACTCGCCGCCGACCGAACATTGATACGTCGAACTTCGGGGATAGTCCAAACCCGCGTATGTAGTATTGGTAAAAAGCGCGTATCTGCACCAAACCAAATTTCACAGAAGAGGGATTTAACGTTAATACTTTGTTATTTCAATGGCTACGACTTTTATTTTTGCACAATAAGCATTAATTTATGTTGTCTACGGACTGATAACAATAAATTCCCGTAAATCACGCTAATTTCATTGCCACGACATTTACGCGGATATGATTTGTCGACGAAATTACTGAAATGTAGACTCGTAATCAAATGATAGTTACGCGTAACTGTACAATCCCCGACGAACCATTTAAAGATGATTAATACACGAAACCAAACAATTTGCACTATGGGGAATTTATTAGCTGACAACCTTTAAACGATGTTCGACACACAAAGGGATTCGCCGCCCGCGACTAACCGTTTAGTGGAATATGCGTGTTACGCTACTTGTCATTATTATGGAGGCAAGTGCCTAGCATAAAGTTGTTACAAATAATACAGACAATGAATAAAACTTTTCGTGTTCGCAGATTAAGCCTTAACATTACTATTGTCACAACTATATTAACATATACAAGCAGCAGCAAACAGCAGCTTGCTTTTGGGCGGTGACAGACTCAATTCTAGGCTTACATGTATAGTTTTTGTTAATGTCAAAGTAAGTTGTATAATACGAATAAAAATAAAAGAACAAGTTATAAGTCCATCATGAAAACTGCTATCATTTGTTACAGCTCCAGTCTAAATTGGTAAGTAAATAACATCATATTGCTCAGCAATCATTTGTTATTTCGTAAACAGACTTAGTTTACATAATTTTGCATACAGCGGTTTAGAGAATGGAAATTTCCGATTAAATTAAAAAGAGATTCCGATAGAGTTATGTTAATACATAGGCAATTTATAAATAAATGCTTCTGAAAACACAGATTCTATAGAAATCGACATGTATAAAATAACTATAGTTTCACTCTATCCGGTCAAACATAAGACATACATAATTGAAAGTTCATATTCCATTTAATCACATGCATTTTAACAGACTAAACCAGGTATATCACGTTTTTTCATAATATCACATGGGCGTGCAAACATGGATTTAATAAGTCAGTCATTCAATGCGGTGATAATTATTTGGGTCAATTTTAATGACAATAAACTGTAAAATGTTACTAGATATTAATATTTAGATATAATCAAAATGTTTTTAGGAAACTGTAAGAGTGAAGATAATGCCTGGTTCTAAGCTGCACCAGTTGGTGTCGATAGCCAAGAGGGTCTCACCGCGACTTCTTTACATTATCAATACCAATAAAGATGCACCTTAATTATTTGTTTTATTTATTTTTCTCAAACATGCTCTGAAATTTTTGCAATACTTTCAAAATACAAACACGGAAAGTTTGTCATATAAGAAATAAGTATGAAAATCCATTATTGTGCGCTGCTCTAAACTTTTAAATCTACATATCTACTAACAATGAACTATGTAAATAGGCAAAAGAAAAACTCATACCGCCAACTGCCCAGTGTTCGTAATTGCAGGAACTAATAAGTCCTCCCAGCACTGCTTACTATTAAAAAAAAAAAGACACGGTACATTAAAGTGATTTGGTATGCTTTTCTGTTTTTTTTCGTCTTTTTTACATTTTCGTCGCGAAAATTAGTTCTAGCAAGAAGAACAGAAACGCAAATACAATAATGGATAGTACTCCGACTAAATAAAAACAATAGGCAAAATTAACCAGGAAAAAAACTTGTTGCCGGCTATGTGCAAATTAGGATACCTACATGAAAACTTTTGAAACTTTTATACACTGGGGAACCACATGAACCACATCATCAGAAATTCAGCAGATTACTATTAATGTGCCTGGGAAAACAATAAGATTTCCTTTTAGCAATTGTCCTAACATATTTACTTTATTACTTTTTTTTTAAATATATAATAGACACTTGGCCACAATCTCACCCGATGTTAAGCGACGATAGGACGCGTTTGCCTAAAAATGCCTATTCACTCTAGCCTTGAATAGCCCCAAATTGTGCTTTTCGGAAAATACAGAGATTTTATTTACTGATTTTAAATATAGAAATTTAGAGCATTTCATTCCTTTGCCGTACGCATCAGAAAGAAGGAAGCAAAGCGCTTAGTCCGAACAGGTGGAATATCAATGACCGACCAATGTCGACCGAAGGAGGAACGGTGAGGGCGGATACCAAATTAATTAAATTACTTTTGATATTAATTAATATATTTTACCTTTTTCAATTATACGTCTTCCTCTCTTTGGTCTTTTATTGCTTCCTCATATTGTTTGAGAAAAACACTATACATGCGTAGGCGGAAACGGGGATTCGCTCGACCTCTTCAATAATGTACTACTCCTATGAGTTATCATCTATCTATCTATAACAGTGTTAAAATACATGATATACATCTAATTTATTTAGGATATCCTAGGCTATACAAGGTGTAATCGTTAAGTATGCCCAGGAGATTATTCCATAAATATAAGAGATATCAAAAAGCTTTAGACTGATATCGAAAGTATGTTACCCAATGTACTCATTAGGTAAAGTACCCTCGATATCAAATTCGAGTTTGACCAACTTCCGCTACCCCGATTTTTTTCATCCCTTACAATGAAATGATACTTACATAAAACTGAGTCGACCTGCACTAAACAAAATTGATCAGTTTTATTCATTTTTATGGACAACTCACACTTGACAAAATAATTGAATATGCTTTTTTTATACATTATATATATAGAGTGTTTGATGTTAAAATTTTCGATATTTCTAGTTTTAGTTTTAAAAAGTTATTGATGTCGATTTACTCATTACGTAACGTACTTTCGATATCAGTTTAAAGTTTTTGATATATCTTATATTTATGGAATAATCGCTTAGGCACACTTAACGATTACACCTTGTATATACCATCACAAGTCACGACTACTATCCAGATGTTCATCATCATCACCAGATCAGCCGGCTAGTGAGCTTTGTGCTCTACCCACTGCCACTTCAACTTGGTAATCCTTCGAGCTATATCGGTGACTTTCGTTCTTCTACGGATCTCCTCATTTCTGATTCGATCATGTAGAGTCCATTGCCCGTTGAGTGACTTTGAGATTTTTATGAGGCCCATAGTAAGTGACCACGTTTCAAAGCCGTGGGTCATCGCTGGCAATACGCACTGCTCGAAGACTTTTGTCTTCAAGGACTGCGGTATTGCGGACGAGAAGACGTCCCGGAGCTTCCCGAAAGTGCTCAACTGAGTTGGATTCGACGATTGAGACATTACGTCACACAGACGTTACCCATTTCAAATTATATTTTGTGATACCAAGCTCCTTGTCACTTAAACTAATAAGGAGGCACGAAAGCCTGGTGCTCTACAACACAGGTTAATCCTAGTATGGATACCAGACTTTCACAAACGAAACAGTCTTCAATATCACATGAGGACCATAGGTTAAAATTTTAGTGTCCTTTGTAAAATAAATCATCATCATTCAGCCATACGACGCTCACTGCTGGGCATAGACCTCCCCCAACGATCTCCACGACGATCGGCCCTGCGCTGCCCGCGACCTTGACCAGACCGCCGGTCCACCTGGTTGGCTGGTGGCTTCCCACTGAGCGTGGTCCGGTGCGCGGTCGCCATTGAAAAACCTTTCCACCCCAACGGCCATCGGTTCTCTTAGCTATGTACCCCGCCCACTCCCACTTCAGCTGACCAATTCTTCGAGCTATGTCGGTTACCTTAGTTCTCCTACAGATTTCCTCACTTTTGATTCTATCACGTGGGGAAATACCGAGCATCGCTCTCTCCATTGTCCGCTGAGTGACCCCTTGAGCCTTCTTATGAGGCGAGAGAGGGCAAGAATTGTGGTCGGCATTGCCTATGTAAGGGGTGGACGCCAGTCTAGTTCAGGCACTGAAATCTCTCTATGATTACAGTGCCTGTGTCAGAATAAATGGTGCTTACACTGACTGGTTCGATATCGGGAAAGGTGTTAGAGTTAGACAGGAATTTGTAGCGTCGCCATGGCTGTTCAACCTAATTATGGACAATTGTTTGAAAATTTTGAAAGAGAATACGTGTGGGCTCAGAATGAATGGTTTACTCATTAAGTGCCTCCTATACGCCGATGACCAGGTGGTATTAGCGTCGTCAGTGGAGGAGTTGCAGGAGACAGTAAATATTTTGCATGGTGCTCTTAAAAGGAAAGGAATGAAAATTACGTTTTTGGAAGAGAGGAAGATATGATGGATTGCACGATATTGATTAAAGGAGAGAAAGTGGAACAAGTGAAAAAGTTTGTGTATTTGGGTTCTATGTTTACGTGTGATGGAAAATGTGAAAGAGTCATTGAAAGAAGAGTGAACGGAGGGAATCAGGTGAATGGTGCCTCGCATACCTCCATGGGCTGCCAGAAAGTGTCTAAAAAGGCACGATTGCCTGTGCATGGGGGGTGCTGGTTCCTACACTTATGTATGGTAGTGAATGTTGGATTTGGCAGAAGCATTAAAGTAGATAGAATAGGCACTATAAACAGTGCCTATTGAAGCATTGTTTATTTATACAATTAAACATTACTTAATTAAACAGCACGTGATTTTTTTTTAATTTTTTATTTGGGTCAACAAACAGTACACACAATTAAAACTTATAACTAAATTTTTTAACAGTAAATATGCTATGATTGTCTCACCAACACCGTTAACAACTAATTAAACAAAAAACTGAAAAGTGGTGATGCATTTCTAATAAACTACTGAAGAATATAATGTAAAAAAGGGTATTATACACATAACCAGCTATATTGTATGACACTAGGTTATAAGGCTAATATAAAAAGAAAATAATAATTGAATAGTAAATGATTTCACACATCGCTAAGCAAGTTCAAAGTTATATTAAAAATATACCAATGCGGGTATATTTTTTAATATTTTTTTTTAATAAATAACGCACACACTCAACATAGCCCCGCACTAGGGAAACCCTGTGTCGCGGGTGCCATGGACACACACATAGACAACCACAAATTACACCCAAACTCACGAGAGAAATAATTGTAGGCCATACAACTATTTCTCCCGGCCCGGGAATCGAACCTGGGACCTCTGCGTGGCAGTCCGGCATGGTATCCGTTCGGCTACGGAGGCAATTAAAACATCTACTGAGTAAAGTGGGTATTGTAATTTTTCATTAATCGGTTCGACACGCACCGGTAGCAAATAATGTATATGCTTTGCAATGATTCGTAATTTCACAAAATTTATGGTCCAAAAATATTTTAATGCATTGCAAGAATTTTTTGAGAGCAGAAACTATAAGATGAACTTATGATATTTAAAAACTGTTATAATAATTGTTAGAAGAATGTATTATTTTAATTCTGATACTCTCCTAACTTATATTACTTACATACATGTATTATATCATCACGGCCGTCTCCCACTGGGATAAACAGACACTACGGACCTCCATCTGCTACGGTCCTGACAAACCTTCGCCTCCTCCACTCCCAACAGTTTCTTACGTGCCAGTTTATTCTTCGTACTTTTAACCGGACCCTTTTGAAGGACATCCCCAATCTGATTGAGATATGTACGCCGAGGTCTCTCCCTCTCTCCACATGCCTTCATCTACACGCCTCCCTCCACACTCGCTCTATAAATTTGTGCCGTCAATCTACCAACATTCATTCTTTCAACATGACCGAACCATCGAACCATAACCACAGAACCTTATTTCATTGATAACATATAATATTATTACTTTAAATATTTAAAATTACTTTTTACTTAAGTTAACTCTAATTTGATATTGCATTTAATAATATTTTTTTTAGATTTTAGTTACACACAAATTGAAATGCCCTGATGCTGCTGGGTTACACGGCCATACTTTATATTACTATGTAATTTTTTTATATAGTACAAAGTGACGGGACGAACAAGTCGTGCGCCTGATGATAAGCGACACGCCTAACCATAGCAGTTGCAGTGCCACTCAGAGCTCTAAATCGCAAAAATCTTTACGGACTGAGAGATAAGTTGACAAGTCCCATGTGCCTGTAATTTCACCAGCATTCTTACCCTTCAAAACCGGAATGCAGCAATAGTCATATTACTGCTTGGTTTAACTGGATGAGCTATTTCACAAGGAGATCTATCGCTGGTCATTTACAGGAGGTAAGCGATTCCCTTTAAAGCAAGGCATTACATTTTAGGAGGCGAGGTGTGGGGGAGCGCCCTTCGTGTACCACAACCCACGCACTGAAAATTAATATGAATAAAATAAGAACAGGCGGAAAAAAGTGACACATATTCGACATCGCGTAACGCCAATTTTCAAATTTCAGATTATGTGAATTTAATAACTACAGAGCTGTAACATTACAGGCACATGGGACTAGCAGTGCCTCTCAGATCTTTGCGATTTGAAGCTCTGAGTGGCACTGTAATTGTTATGGACAGGCGTGTAGCTTACCCTCAGGCGCACGAGATGTTCGCTCCGTCACTTGATACTATTATTAAAAAAAAGCTTTACCTAAAAACCAAAATTTAGGTTCTCTAAAAATATCTCATAATTGTTAAAATATGTGCAAAGTTATAATTTAAGAATAAAATACGTAAATATTTCTTCTTTTTCTTTAACTTTTATTTTAGTCTGTTTTCGGGACTTTTTTATGATCGCACATTCTTCGTGTAACAAATGAGCGCTTTCTTTAAACAATACCCTTAGGTGTATCTTTTTTTTTTATAAGACTTACATATTTTAATATATTTAACATTATATTTTAACAGTAAACAGTTTTTCCCGCTTCTACTACGCACGGTAACTTGCCTTAACTAAGTTTTCGCAGTTGGCCAGTGCTATAAAAACTCAAGACATAATGTTTTAATTGAATTACTCGCATAAGTGAAGATAAGATCCAATAAGGAAATCACATTTTTCGCAGCTATGACGCCACGATGGAATTAACATTGTTGTGTTTAATATATTATCTAATTGAAGTAAGCGTTTTATCTTTTGATTTGGATTTCAATATTTCAATGCTATATAAGACTTGTGTCAGTGGTACGTGCTTTGGGCTTTATTTACGTAAACCGGGAACCTATATTTGTTTGTTTCAATTCACAATTTGAGTGCGATTTTTCTAAATTTATTCCGAAAGTCATGTTTGGTATGTTCCAGCAGTGTTCTTTTATGTTACGTAATAACATTCTCTAGTTTGAATAAGTGTAATTGAAACATTTTATAAGACATATTACAAGTTTGTTGGAGATGAGCCTAAAATTAGAAATGGATTGAAATCAGCACGAGCCGTGAGCTTACCAAATTTTAATCTAGTGAGTCAATGACAATGCACTCAGCATTCACAATAAAGTACTTATTCAGTTACAAGTATTGTCTTCATCCCCGCGTTTCACAAATTGTTGTATAACGTCTACATCGAGTATATAACCAGAAATAGAGACGAAATGTCATTTACTTTGTTTGAAAACTATTCTGTCAAATCATTACGGTGACAACAGCGCGTCGAATTCGAAACAATTGACGGGTGTCGTCAATTGTTTCACTACAAATCGACCAGTTTAACTTCAACTTTGCTATAATGGACGAAAATTGAAAAATTACATAATTTAATATTTAATTTCCGATGAAATGTGATTTCGTTTGTTTTGTAATTAGGTATTTTGCTGTATTTCCCACACCACCGAATGGAACAGCCCCCATTGTTAGAGATATTATCTTTATTACAATAAATCATTGACTTACAAATAGAATATGTTTGGAATATATGGAGATGTTCACACAGGTCAGTTGTTGGCGCTGTACTATTGCAGCTTTTTAATTTATGATTTCAGCGCAAACGAGAGTTGATATTTGAAATAATGCTCATAAGGCCCATTTGCCCGATGAGTTGCTAGGAATGGATGGCCCTTATTTCGTATACATTTCTGGTTATATACTCGATGAATGGATATTATGAAACCCTATTTTACATTATGACGACGAATATAGTGTAGGACGCCCTCAGACATAATTTTTTTTTAATTAGGCTGTTGACAGCTGATAATTGCGACAAACTGAGGACCGGGCGAAATTAGGAGAGGCCTATGTATAGCAGTGGACTGCGATGGGCTGATGATGATAACGATACTATTTGCAGCATCTTACGACATTCTCTTACTCTTTCTTTAATTTGTCCTATTCACTCTTCTAACTTTATTCTAACTCCTTCAAGGTTAGAAGCATCAAACTGTGGAATTCCCCGCCTGAATCGATCAGATGCGCTAAGTCGTTCAAAACTACTCAAAGCTCATTATTTTACACTATGATTAGTTATTCTTGTCTACTATTCTTACCTGATTTAAATTTTGTGTGTTATTACTATTATGTTTTATAATTATAATCCTACAAATTATGTAATATATATTTATAAATATATATTTCTTCTTTTTTATTTATTATTATTACTCTTTTGATATTTTATTTATTTATTATCATTCTTTTTTTTTCATTTGTGTATGTTTAATATGTGTATTCAATACGTATTCTATTGCGCCCTCAATTAATTATTGTCTTATCGTTTTTCCTATAACCCGAAGGTTGCCTGGAAGAGATTGCTATTTAGCAAGAAGGCCGCCTGTTATACCTCTCTTTTTTTTTAATATTATGTATTTGTCCCAGTGTGCAATAAAGAATGTTTGTATTGTATTGTATGAAAATGTTATACCAGTGATAGCTAAATTGACTACGCTTGACTGCTACTCGAGCTTTTTTTTTATAATATCAAGTGACAAGACGAACAAGTCGTGCGCCTGATGGTAAGCTACATGCCTGTCCATTACAGTTACAGTACCTCTCAGAACTATAAATCGCAAAGATCTGGGGGGCACTGCCACTGCACACCCGTCACACTGAGACATAAGTTGACAAATCCCAAGTGCCTGTAATTTCACCAGCACTCTTACCCTTCAAAACCGGAACACAGTAACACTGACATTACTGCTTAGCGGCAGAAATAGGTAAGATGGCAGTACTTCCCGGGACTAACTCTTTCACAACGAGCTCTACTGCTACTTGGGATCGCGTGATATTAAATTTTCTCCTATATTATCAAATCGCCTTGATCCAATGGTATACATGACGTGATGATAATGTACGTACCTGTATTTCAGGACACTAATAGCGTGCGTAATGTGGATTCGCAAATGTTCCTCTGGAATCAACGGAAAGACTTTCAACCAGAAGCTAAGAAGCACGAGGTAAATTCATGAACAAGCAAATAATACTAAAACAGTCAAGAGTGTCACTCGCAGAACGCTTGTCTAGAAATAGTGTACGCTAATGATAAAGTAATATTTCAAAAAGAGTATTTTTAACTTGTGATCTGAATATAATAATTAAAAAGGAAAAAAGTCAAACGAATAGTTAAAGATATGGTATACTATGGTCCCACAACTGATTCATCGAAATAAATGTTTTTTTACTTACAGAAAGGAATACGCAATCCAGTCCAAGTCAGTAAACTTGCAACTAGATACACAGGTGCCGTGAATAGGGTTTCGTTTGTAAGTTCATCTCTCGTTAATTATTTATGTCACTGGATACACGATAGTGTGTCAACCAACGATCTGAAATTTAAAGGTGGTCATATGGAAAAAAATATCGATTGTCTACACCTCAAAAATGATTTGTAATTGTACACACTTGTAATTTAGTTTGCCTTATAAAGTCACCCCAAATGATAAACCAATTATAACCTTGATGTAATAAAGCCACATATGATCATATAAAAAGCGCTTATAACAAATGAAATCCCACGTGATTACGAATGCCGATTACACGAATGACGATAATGCGATGACAATTATGCAAAAGCCATAATGCACGACGGCTTATTTTCACGAATATTTAGTTGCGCGAAGGATTAAAATCGCAATAGTTTAAAAGCACGATGGTTCGAACGATAAGGACGATATCACGAGGACAAATTTGCGAAAGCTGAAATGCGCGAATGGTTAACCAACCAACATTTTTATTTCAAGGAATCAAATACAAAAGTTCGTGGAATTCAAATATAAACGAACATTTCAAGTCGACGTTTTTTAAATAATATATTATTTAAAATTAATATTAATATTATTAACATATTAACATATTATTTACATACGAAGGGAAGTTGATAATTTGTAACATTTTTATATCTATTAATGGACCTAAAAAGTTCAATTAATCAAACAAAAGAATGTTTAATTTTGATCAATGAAACAAAACAAATATAAATCAATGACACGAACAAACAATATAATATTATTTAAAAATAATTTTAAATTAATATTAATATTAACATTAATTATAATATTAATATTAATAAAACTTCCCTTCGTATGTAAAAGCATTCCAGACTATTACAATCTCAACTAAAACTTGCATGGAGCAAATGAACCGTCACAGGATTAAACATTCGCGCATTCCAGTTTTCGAAAATTTGTCTTCGTGCTATCGTCATTCGCGCAAATGAACCATCGCACTTTTAAACTTTCCCGCTTTAAAAACCTTCGCGCATCTGACTATTCGTAAAAATAAGCGGTTGCGCATTATAGCTTGGCCGTCTTCGCATTATCGTCATTCGCGGAATCAGCATTCGCAATCACGTGGAAAACCCGTGAAAGGAGACGTGGCATTCCGGGGTAAATTGCAATAAGTTGAGGTATAGATTGAAAATGTTGTTATACATTAATGAGATTTTTTAAAATAATTCCACTATGTAATTTTGTTATGATTATTATTTATACAATTATTTATTTTTATTAACACAAAGATGGAACACACAGAAAAATTTCTTCAACCCGATTTGACTTGAACCCGTGACCACGCTGTACCGTAACGCTGCTCTAACCAACAGAGCTACAGGTCAAGTTATCGAAATTCGACTATGTATTTTTGCTAAAGATCTATCTTTTATACTGGATTTTTCGGCATTCTGCGCCGCTAGTGACATCTTGTGAGAGGTCTTCGAACCTTCCTCAATATTGTTATATTTTCCTATTTCAAAATATAAAAATCAACTAAAATTCACATTCTAAATACGTTATCGATTAATCTATAAATAATCGATTAATGTGAAAGAGCTTAGACGATTAAAATTAGGAAAACTCTACCAATCGATAATGCAATCGAAATAATTATATTCCTTGAAGTTTTCTATTTTTTTTTATAAACCAGGTGACGGAACGAACAAGTCGTGCGCCTGGTGGTGAGTGACACGCCTATCCATAACAGTTGCAATGCCACTCAGAGCTTTAAATCGCAAAGATTGTAAAGGCACTCCCACTGCAGCACCCGTTACCCTGAGACATAAGTTGACAAGCCCCATGTGCCTGTAACTTCACCAGCATCCTTACCCTTCCAAACCGGAACGCAGTAATGCTCACATTGTTGCTTGGCGGCAGAAATAGATAAGGTAGCAGCACTTCCCTAGACGAACTCCTTCACAAGGAGCTCTACTGTTAATTAGTATCGGTTAGGTACAGATTTATTAACTCCTTAATTAACTCGGATAATGAAGCATAAAAAAGTTGCCAGTTAATTTCGTGAAAAATTGTCATTTTGCAGATGAGGCTTTATTATACCATGGGTTCGAAATGATCAAGTAAAAATTTGCTGCGTTTGTATTGCGTAGTACATACGCAAGTAACAGTTTTCTAACATGAGTAAACAGGATTTAAAAATCGCGCGCGCACACGTTTCGGCGTTACTTGGATGGCATCATAAACAACTTTTGTTGCATGACTTTCTACATAAAACATAATTTTAACAAATTTTTGTTGACTATGCATTGACTTACAATTATATGGACGTCGGGTCCGCGCTAAAAAGTGTCCGCACTTGTAAAGCGCTAAAATCGTATACAGAGCGCCAAACTCCGCTTTAGTCTTCATTTGTTCGATTGACAGCGCGATACTGCGATGACATTACAATTTAAATTTCGAATAGGTTGACTTGGGATATTTTTTTCGTGGTTTTTGTATTAGACCCGTCGTCCATTTATTTGTAAGTCAATGTGACTATGTGACACTTTTTAGATCTGTATTTTGAAGTAAGGTAGTAACTTCAGACTTAGCAGGAGTTTTAAGAATGGTATGGTAACGGGTTTTCAATTCACGCTAGCGCTGGCTGCGTCAGAAGGACGGTTATGTTTTTCGAGTGTATGTTTTTATTTAAGTAAAATCTGACTAATTATTAAAAAGTTGTTGTTATTGATGTTGATACTGTAGTAACTGTGAGGTTGTGTTAGGTTAGTATTTTACGAATAATCCTGTGTATTTCAATATCACTGATGGTGTCGGTATATCGTTTTGTTTCAGATTGTCTCAGAAATAAGTCTCATAATAACCGTTTTTTTTATCTCTGGGAAACGCGTTACGCGTACCGCTCGGCTCGGGGGAAGCTGCGAGCGGTTATGTGTGACTCCCGGGCTCTAGCCCGGTATATACACTAAAACCCAGCGGTTAACCCCCACCGCCATAGCGAGGCGCCCCTGGATCCGCTTACGCATACTACAGGAACGCCTCGACGGATGGTCCGCGTGAGCGGACCCCGGCCTTCAGAGAGGCCTCGAGTGTCCCCACGGCTCACTACAGCGGGGGAAGAAGGTGGGCGTACTGCCTCCTTCGTCTCCCCAGCCGCCGTCTTCGGAGCGGGTCAGCGAGGGGGTCGTCCTCTCTGAGCCGTCCCGAGGCCTCCTTGTGCGAAAGTACGCTTTCACAGAAGGATGCCATTGCATCCCAACACCTCTGACTGTAGAGCATCGCGCCCACGATGGTCGATAGCGAGAGATCTCCGCCCACTACCGCGGTCAGGGAGTGCCGCTGGGGGCCCCATGCCGCACATTCTGCCACGGTATGACGCACTGTATCGACGGGAGCGCCACACTCGTGACAGACAGGGGTCGTCTCCCGACCTGCAACCCGGTGCAGGTATTCGCCGAAACATCCATGTCCGGTGAGAACCTGCACCAATCTGTAGAACAGAGACCCATATCGCCGGTCGACCCAGAGGATTAGGTGGGAGCGAACTGCCTCCACCGTCACTACGCCCGCGACTGGGGCCTCTAGGTCTTCCGTCCATTTCCGGATTAAGGCAGCGCGGCCCGCTGCCCTGATCCTCTCCAGGTCTTCGGCGCTCGGCCTTTCCCCCTGGGTTGCATGGCCGCTCGGTATCGGTACACTTCCGCGAGCACCTCCGCTTGGAGTTCCCAGTGAGGATCGCCCGCCAGAAGAGTGGCCGCCGTCCACGACACCGTGGAATAACCCCGGATCGCTCTCACCGCTATGACCCTCTGCGGCCTCCGCAAGAATGGTTTAAGTCGAGCGGTGAGAGCTTCCACCCAAACCGGTGCGCCGTACACCCTGTACGCATACTCCGGATTATTCCTGAGTACAGGCGCCTGCAAACCGAGTCTGGTCCGCCTACGTTCGGCAAGAGCCGTCCTAGGGCGGCAGCGGTACCCACCAGCTTCGGAGCGAGTTGGGCAAAATGCGTCCTGAAATTCCACCTCCCGTCCAGTACAAGGCCCAGATATTTCATCTGAGCCTTGACTGGGATCGTCTCCTCAAAAAGGGTGATCCTTGCCTCCCTAGGGCGTCCTTTGCGCGGGCCATGGAATAGGAGGGCCTCCGTTTTGTGTATACAGACCCTCAGGAACAACAGATGGATCCTTTCTACCACCAGAGATGTCACTACGGTGCTCAACCGCACGGCCTCTTTATAAGTCCTGCCCCGAGCAGTAACCCCGGGAAGGAGCGGACCGTGTAGGAGCCAGTCAAAGCCAACATTCCACAACATGGGCCCAGCACGGACCCCTGTGGAACGCCGCACCCGACGCGCCTCTGGTGTAGCCTCCCGTCTCTGCCCTCCTATAGAACCACCCTGTCCTGGAGGTACGCCTCCAAAAGCCTTCTGAGATAGGAAGATACTCCATGATACCGGAGCGCCTCTCTCAGTGTCTCGAACGGAAGGCTGTTGAAGGCGTTCTTGACGTCAAGGGAAACAGCCATGACCACCTCCCCCTTATCCACGGCGTCTGTCGTGAGACTCTTCAGGGCATCCAGGGCGTCGACAGTAGACCGCCCCGCCCTGAAGCCGTACTGGGCTTCCGAGAGACCAGGCCCCACCTCCTCGAGGTGCCTAACGAGACGGTTAGTGAGGACCCTCTCGAAGAGTTTGGCCGTCTCGTTCAACAGTACAATGGGCCTGTAGGCAGAAGGCGAGTCGATTGGACGACCCTCCTTCTGCAACAGACACAGTCGGCCCTGCTTCCATTGTTCCGGGAACTGCCCGCAACGTAGGTACGTGTCGAACAGTCCCCGGAGCAGCTCATTTAGGTATTCCGCTGCTAAGTACAGCACCCGACTCGGAACGCCGTCCGGTCCCGGTGCGGTCTTTTTGCCCCGTAGTCGGAACAGGGCTGCTGCTATTTTTCCCTCAGTAATAGAGGGGACCTGCGAGAGACCCTCCTCCGGTGAGGAGGGTGGGGCTATCACCGGGGGAGAGTACTCAGGAGGGTCTGGGTAAAGCCCCTACCACCCTTCGCAGGAGATCCAGGGCCATGGTCTCCGTGATGGGAGCGCTTTGGGCACGGAGTTTCTTCCGGACGACCCCATGGATCCCGATCTAACCCGGCCAGGATTTCTTCTCTGGCACGGGTTTTGGCCTGGCTTATTGCCAGCTGCAGAGACTTCTTCTTAAGGCGGTATGTCTCCCACAGCTGGCTTTCTATTTCCGGGGCATGGCCGTGACGGTGTCGGCACCGGACGTGGGCTCTCCGGGCAGCAATGCAGTCCGCTCGGAGTTTCGCGATCTCCTCCAACCACCAGTAGACCTGATGGCGGGGAGGTCGTCGCCGGACCCGGGGCATGGCCGCGTCGCACACTGCAGTTAGAGCAGTATGCAGGCGGCTCGCCAAATCGTCGGCGGTGACGCCCTCTCTCACTCCAGCAAAGAACCAGCGCTATACTATGGCAACTTCCTCGACCATCTCCCGGTCCAGCCGACTTAGCGCCCAGCGTGGGAAGCGACTCGGTCTACGAATCGAGGCGGAATGTCCAAGGACCGCGGAGACCTCGAAACGGATATATAGGTGGTCGTACAAGGTCTCCACGTCCTCCACCACTCTCCAGTTTCTGGTCCTGCGCGCGACCGCGGTAGTAGCGAACGAGACGTCCACTACGGACCCTCCCTGTTGTCGCACGCAAGTCTGAGCAGTCCCTCTATTCAGGAGGGACAAACCAGAGAGTATACTCCAGATCTGTACAGCACCACCTCGCGCGTCAGAGACGAGATTACCCCACGCTTGCGACTTCGCATTAAGATCGCCGAGGACAATAACTTGCTTCGGCGCTTGTCCTGACGGAGTCAAGAAATGTCTCAAACTCCGCCAGGGAGCGGTTGGGGGAGAAGTGCGTTCCAATTATTATGTACTCCCCCCACCCAGTCAGTACATACCCCGAGCCCCTTTCCGCCACTAGGCCGTCCAGGTCCCCTGCCCAGTTTTCGTGAGCAGGGATGTAGTACGGCTCGCAGGCCACCGCTAAGTCTATTTGCCACTGCGCCATGGACTGCAGGAGCAGATCTTGAGCTCCGGCGCAGTGGTTAAGATTCGACTGGAGAAAGCTAGTGTGTTGAGATGACATCATTCCGACATATTACTAGCCTCCTCCCGCGTCTGTTGGCGATCGACAGTAATGGCGGTCTGGGTCCTAGGGACCGCTTTTCGTTTCATTGGAGGTGGTTTGCAGCTCCTTCCCCCCAATGCGGTGGTCCGATGGACGTCCGGCGTCGGCGCAGACCACGCAGCGCAGCACGCCTTTGCAGTTGGAGGCCTGATGGCCCTCGTTGCCGCATCGAAAGCACAGGTCTTCACGACTGCTGCCCGAAGTACACATAGGCCTCGTATGGCCAAGGCCAAGGCACCGATAACAACGGAGCGGGCGCTGCTCTAGGGCTTGTACCTTCTCTATTTGTACTACGTGCAAAGCTCCAGCCGACCAGTATCCTCCCCGCTTCAGCCAGCGTCTTGGCTGTGCTTATTGCTGCACTATCACAGAGCCCATCCCGCCTGGGCCAGGGCGGATCTCCAAGACTTTAACCAGGTCTATTGTGCACTGCTCAGTCCTTGCCACCGCAGTGGCCACCTTCGCTTTAGTGGCTGAGTCGTCAAGAACCGAGATGTGGATATCCGCAGTCTTTGTGAGCCGGGTGACGCTGGCTACTCCGTCAAGTGCAAGGCGGAGCTGTTCCGCCAGCCGGTCGGCTGCCAGTGCACCCTGAGGTCCCGACAGCTCTAGCAACCTGGCCCCGATGGCCGACTGGCGGAACTTGACACCCTCTATGCCTAGCCCCGCCAGGTCAACGCGTGCCTCCGCTTCAGCCAGCGCCTGCGCATAGGTCACACCTTTCTGTGTCGCTTCAGGCAGCAGACTTATTACCACCGCGGCAGACTGCGGGGGCGTCTCATAATAACCTAACCTAACCTCAGTATAGAAATTTGTCTTATAATAACCTAACCAAACCTCAGTACAGAGTACTAAAAAAACCGACCTCAAAAGTTTACCACCCTTAGAGGTCGAATATTGTCTTCAAATTTAAATGGGACCACTTCTGAAGTACCCTCTTTCCAACAAAAAAGAATCATCAAAATCGGTTCACAATTAGCGGAGTTATCGCGTAACATACATATAAAAAAAAATATATACAGTCAAATTGAGAACTTCCTCCTTTTTTTAAATTGGGTTAAAAATAAAAAAAATAAATTAAAGCTTAACTCTCATGACCGACCGACACTGGCATAATTATTCTCCAAGAGAAGCCCGGAAAAAAAATAGTTTTTCAATAAAAACTAATTCAACAAAAGTAAGAGAATTTTAATTCCATTCGCAGACATATCTCGATACGGAAGAAGACTATCATTTATCAAGCGTGTCTAGCAGAGAACAGCAAGAAGTACAAACAGAAGAACCAGAAGCATTCAGTTCGATACAGACTATAGACCAAGTAAGTTTTGTATATTTTATATTTTTCATTATCAACCCATTTATACGTCCCAGTGCTGGGCACGGGTCTCCTTTCAGACGAGGGTTTAGGCCATAGTCCGCCGTGCTGGCCTAATGCGGGTTGGGGACTTCCCACGTTTTTCCGAGGGTAGTGAACCTTCTTCAACGTGTTGGTTTCATCACGATGCTTTCCTTCACCGAAAAGCTCATGATAAATTTCAAATTAAATTTCGCAAAGAAACAGAGACGTGAGAATCCGGATTCCAATCCACGGCCCTTTTCTTGAGAGTAGGTCAAACCATTAGGCTACCACGGCTTATTACAAGAGTGCGAATTACTAAACGTCATCAGTAAACTCAACTTTTAAACACAACAACATAATTTTGTCATAATATGGATCTTAAAGCACGTACCATAAATACCGGGTTTATATTTACTTCATTGAACATCGTAGTGTTTTTACTACCATGATATTCAATGATATGATATACAAAAGAGCAAATTCATAAATGTCATATATAAAAAGATACTCAAATTTTAATCAGAAAAACTATCAAAGCTTACTTTAAAAAAAAACATTATTTCCAGAGCCAACCGAACTTCAAGCGTAAGAAGAGTGTAAGTATCGCAATAAGAACCTTACATCGTGGTTTGATATATGCTATTTGAAATGTAACTACCTTTTTTTTTATAATTGTGTTAAGGTGTTGTCGCTGGAAAGAACTTTGCCATTAGGAAATGAAACTATTTTTCCGGATTTAACTCCAACAGTCAACCGTGACCATGGGACCTGTAAAGGGCCCGAAACGTCGGTTTGTTTGAAAAAACAAATATACGCGATTTAAATCCGGAAAAATAGTTTCATTTCCTATGTGTAACAATCGCGAAAACCTAAGAACTTTGCCATTGCTAGACCAGTTGAAGGAAAATTATAACAGACACCTCTAATTCACACTAAAGGAAATAGCAGCACTGCTTGGATGTAGAGATAATTAATGCGCACAAACAGAGATTCCAATAAAATTTTGCTGCATATACAATTTTCAGCGCTTCTTTATGTTATTTGAAGACAAAATCCTCTACGTCAAGGACACCTATGCTAAACAGTAGGACATTTTATAGTTTGACATAACAACAATACTGTAAAACAATTTATTCGCAGGTACATGAATTGCCCAAAAACTATAAAAATGAAATTGAAGCAGGAGAATTAGCCAATATGGTGCAGAACAAACGTCATTTTGTTCCAATGAAATATGATTATGGTGATTTAGGACGGCGTTTTATGTTGCGAGATCCATACACCAAAATTCAGGTCAGTTCGTTCATATTCAGTTTTATATAAGGTCACTAACGTCATACAGCCCAACAGCAAACCGCTCCAGGCCATTTTAGGAAACCAACTTTTTTGTACATTGTTGATTAAAAGATTCAGGCGTTACAGTGAAAATTAAATGGTGCTAATTAGCTGCGCCAGTGTTTAATATTTTTTTCATGAAGTTTCTGATTAACCGCTCACGCGATGCGCTCCTCCTACCGCAAAATGGCGGATATTTGGTTTCGCAAATTAGAAAAGCATTCAGTTTAAATACAAGTTTTTATAAATAAAAATTATTATTCTGCATTGCTAAATAAATATCCTCCGTACTACCAACAAAAACATCTCAAATATAATGCAGTAATACACCGTAAATCCTGCACTTAAAAAGCACTAATGAAATTTTTGGTGTACTTGGATAAATATGATAATATTCCGTTTGAGTGGTTCTAATGTTTACCATGAAATTACTCCTTAAAGTATAGTTTATAAACATTTATATTCAGGGTAAACTTAAAAAACGCTACCTACGGTATGTTTTCAATAAATAAACACCGAAATCACCAGCCCAAACAATAACACTCACGATTGTCGTGACGTATTTTTGAAGTTGTTTATTTTTTTAAATGACAGACCCAGGCATTAAAAACTGTATGGTTTGCTAGAGTAGTTACCGAAATAGTAATTAATATTAGTTCTTTTACCTTTTATAAGTTCGATATCCGATAAATCGGTATAAAATCATCACGCGCACCTCTAGGTGTGGTATGCGTCTACGGCTGCATGTATCGCGTGAGCGGATAGACGCTATGCCAACTAAAAAAGTTGTTACACACCAAAAACAAAGATCTGCAACAAGCACATAAAAAATTCGTAAGGTTAGTAGTTCGTTCCGTGGCTATGGGGTTATTATTATTATTGGGGTTAGTCTATGGAGCACGTCGAGTAAAAGAAAAACTAATGCTGTCATGTAAACCATCAACAATCAGCAAACAGTTGGCATAGCGTCCAGTACCGTTTGTTGGAAGACGTTGGTTCGAATCCAGCCGAATCGAAGAATTTTTTTTAAGTGTTCAATGGCTGTAATAATTAATTACATCTATTCAGTTGTCACTACCATCTCTATCCCAGATATTCTTAAATTCTATAATATAGACATTAGCTTTATGTTACATCAGTGATTGCCTAGTTGGGAGAACGGTTGCTTCTATACGGAAAGGTCTGGGTTGAAATAATAATGGAGGGACAGCAACACTGAGTAATTTAGAATCACGTTAAAACAAATTTTTGCTTGCTTTCACGGGCAATGGAAATACGATGATAAAACCTACTTGACTCTTCCAAGGCGTGTAAACTTCTGAGTTCGCAGTGGATCTTGGAGGAAACACCTCGATCCAGTATTTCATTACAACATGCGTTGCTGTAAATGAAACTTTATATACCTGTATTTCAGGAAACGAATAATTGGAGTAATGTGGCTCCACAAATATTAGTCTTGAATAAAAAGAAAAAGAATAGTAAGAAGAAACACATCCTATCACGACATAAGAAGCACGGCCAGGTAAATTATCAAGCAAGTAATAAATAAAACAAAATTGAGACTAGAAGTGCGCCTTGATGAACGCCTATGTACAAATAGCGTAAGGCGTCACACTCGGCATCCCGAAGGCTGCCGAAGCATCTCGAAGGCTGCAGAAGTATCCCCAAGACTACTGAGACATCCTGTATATTTCAATATCACTGATAGTGTTGGTACATTGTTTTATTTTGTATTTTCGCAGAAGCCGAAATAGGCTGAAAGAGCAGTGTTAAGTAGTAAATTATGATGATGATATATGTACAATATGATAATATAAATGATAAATAAAAATAAAAATGACTAGACACATAGCATAATTCTACTAGAAAAGCCAGAACCTAAAAAAGTATGTTTTTCAATTAAAGTGAATTTCAGAAAAGTAAAGAAATTTTAAATCAATTTGCAGGAGTATTTCGATACGGAAGAATTGTTATCCAGCTTGTCTGCCTCAGCAGAAGAAGAAGAAGAAGCATTCGAAGTAAAATATTCACAATCCTCGATAGAAGTAAGCTTTGTTTGTTTTATATTTGCCTGTAAATTATTACAAAATGTTGTCAAATCAAGTCAGTCAGTCAGTATCGGTATATGTGCATAATGCGTAACCAAACAGGTTGTTGCTGTCCGAAAGTTGCTCGTACCTGCCCCTCACTTCGATCACCTATATCGTCTTCGTGGATGCGACACTTCACAAACATATTATATAGTTAACATTTTAAATTGTTTTAAAAATATTATAATTTAATTTTATTTTTGAGTATAATCTCATTTACATAGTATAAATATTTTACGTGTCTACATAGTTACTTGCATGTACATTTTCTGTTATGTTGGTTTTTCCTGTTTATGTTTTGTTGATTTTTTAAATTGCTGGCAGCGGCTCACTCGCCACGGGCTTGCTGAAAATCAGCTCCACAATACGGTTCTTTTTTTTAAAAGAGAAACCGTATGACGGTAAATTACTACTTATTCATATAAATTGTAGTAATGTTCTACTTATTTTCTTTTTTTAAATTATATTTGTCCTTTTTTGCTTATACATATGCGTGTCTGCGTTTGTACCATAAACAATTTTCTTTCTTTCTTCTTTCTTCTTTCTTCTTTACGTCATTTGAAAGCAAAATCCTCTACGTTAAGGACACCTATGCTAAACAGTAGGACATATAGTTTGACATAACAACAAAACTTCCTTAGCCTGTCTGATTGACTATATAAAACTATTTATTCGCAGGAACATGAATTGCCCAAAAACTATAAAAATGAAATGGAAGCAGGAGAGTTAGCCAACATGGTGCAGAATAAACGTCATTTCGTTCCAATGAAATATGATTATGATGATTTAGGACGGCGTTTTATGTTGCGAGATCCATACAAAATTCAAGTCAGTTCATTCATATTCAGTTTTATATAAGGTCACTAACGTCACACAGCCCAAAAGCAAACCGCTCTAGGCCATTTTATGAAACTATTATATATTTATTCATTATTGATTAAAATATTTAGTTGTTACAGTGAAAATTAAATGGTGCTAATTAGCTGCGCTAGTGTTTAATATTTTTTTCATTAAGTTTCTGAATAGACGCTATGCCAACTAAAAAAGTCGTTAAAACACCAAAAACAAAGATCTGCAACAAGCACATAGAAAACATCGTAAGGTTAGTAGTTCGTTCCGTGGCTTAGTTGGGGTTGGTCTATGGAGCACGTCGAGTAAAAGAAAAACTAATGCTGTCATGTAAACCATCAACAATCAGCAAACAGTTAGCATAGCGTCTAGCACCGTTTGTTGGAAGACGTTGGTTCGAATTGAAGGATTTTTTTAAGTGTTCCATCTTTCTATTAATAATTAATTACATCTATTCAGTTGTCACTACCATCACAGTCCCAGATATTCTTAAATTCTATAATGTAGATATTAGCCGTAAGTTACATCAGTGATAGCCTAGTTGGGAGAACGGTTGCTTCTATAGGGAAAGGTCTGGGTTGAAATAATAATGGAGGGACAGCAACACTGAGTTCTAAATTTTCGCTTGCTTTTACGGGCAATTTAAATACGATGGTGAAACCTACTTCACTCTTCCAAAGGGTGTAAACTCCTAAGTCCGCAATGGATCTTGCAGGAAGCAGCTTGATCCAGTATTTCATTCCAACATGCATTGATGGAAATGAAACTCTATATAGCTGTATTTCAGGAAACGAATAATTTGAGTAACGTGGATCCACAAATATTAGTCTTGAATAAACAGGAACGTATCCAACCACAACCTAAGCAAGACCAGGTAAATTATCAAGCAAGTAATAAATAAAACAAAATTGGGAATAGAGGTGCGCCTTGATGAACGCCTATATGCAAATAGCGTAAGGCGTCATACTCGGCGTCCCGAAGCCTGCCGAAGCATCTTGAAAGCTGCCGAAGTATCCCCAAGACTACTGACTGCTACTGAGGCATTCTGCATATTTCAATGTCACTGATAGTGTTGGTACATTGTTTTATTTCGTATTGTCGCAAAAGCCGAAATAGGCACAAAGAGCAGTGTTAAGTAGTAAATAATGATAATGATATATATAATATGATAATATAAATGATAAATAAAAATAAAAATGACTAGACACATAGCATACTTCTATTGGAAAAGCCAAAACCTAAAAAAACGTTTTTTTCAATTAAAGTGAATTCAAAATGGTTTTTAGAAACTTTAAATCAATTTGCAGGAGTATTTCGATAAGGGAGAACTTTTATCCAGCTTGTCTACCTCAACAGAAGAAGAACACACAGAAAAAGGTTCACAATACTCCTACTCGATACAAGTAAGTTTTGTTTGTTTTATATTTGCCTGTAAATTATTACAAAATGTTGCCAAAACGTGGATCTTGAAACTTACTTACTCTATGTGCTTGTTGTAGATAATTGTTTTGATTTGAACGGCTTCTTTTGCCGTCAACGCCACCCGTGATCAACTTATCAAAGATTCTTACTATGCGGACCCATCTTTGCTAAGACCAAATAGAAGCATTCGAAAGCCAAAACTTTAAATTCAGCAATTTTCACTAATAAAACATATAAAATATATGACGAAGACTTGAGTTTGAAATTCATTAAGCAAATTTTTGGACCACATCATCTCCTATTAAATAAATATCAATTCGTATCAATTGCGGACATCCATCACAAGTGCTTACGTTACATGAAAGTCATAAAAATAATACAAACTTCATAAATCAAGTTATATGAACATATAATGTGCAATCATGTAACTCTCCTACTTAAGCATAAAAAGTGACAGCTAGTTTCGTTCGTGAAATCTGTAAGCCTCTCTCGTGAAAAGTCGCAATTTTGCAGATGTGGCCTTATTAGAAGAGTGCGAATTAACAACCGTCATACATAAAGAGATACTCCACTTTTAATCATAACAACTATCTAAAGGCATAGGTACTCAAAAAAATTTTATTTCCAGAGCCACCCAAAGTTCAAAAGTATGATGGGCAAAGTAAATAAAAATGTGAGTATCGCACTAGTAATAAGAACCTTGCATCGTGGTTTTTTTTTTGTATTTGTTATTTGGAATGTACTACTTTTGCTTTATAACTGTGTTAAGGTGTTGGCACTGGCAAATGCTTTGCCATCGCTACACCATCTGAAGGAAAATTATAACAGACACCTCTAACTCACATTATAGGAAATAACAGCATTGCTTGGCTGCAGAGATGCACTACTATCTCTGCAGTTTATCAATGCTGCTATTTCCTTTAACAGAGAATCTTATAAAATTTTGCTGCATATGCAATCTTCAGCGCTTCTTTATATCATTTGAAGGCAAAATCTTCTACGTCAAGGACACCTACGCTAAACAGTAGGACATTTTATAGTTTGACGTAATAACAATACTTCCTTAGCCTGTGTGAATGACTAAATATAACAATTTATTCGCAGGAACACGAATTACGTAACGTAACGTTGCGTGTTTTTTTACATATTTACTATTTCAAATGTTTTATAATTTTGTTATGATGTTCACACTGCTAGACCAACTGAAGAGAAAAAATTATAACATCCACCTCTAAAGACATTAAAGGAAATAGAAACACTCCTTGGCTTGTAGAGATAAACAGTGCACACAGAGAACCCAATCAAATTTTGCTGCATATGCAAATTTCAGCGCTCCTTCTTTATATCTTTTAAAGTCTTCAAGAACACCTATTTGAAACAGTAAGACATTTATAGGTTGACATAATGGCAGTACTTCCAGTACCAGTCTCTCACAAAACAGTCTGACCAATTTTTAGTCTTGTATTTAACCTTAAGTTCCTTATTCTTAAGCCTGTTTTGTGATTGAGAAATAAATAAAACTTCATTCATTCATTCATTCATTTCATTAACCTGTCTGAATGGCTTAATAGAACAATTTGCTCGCAGGAAAAGGATTTGTACAAAAACTATGAAAATGAAATTCAAGCAGGAGAGTTAGCTGACATGGTGCAGAATAAACGTCATTTTGTTCCAATGAAATATGATTATGATGGTTTAGGACGGCGTTTTATGTTGCGAGATCCATACACCAAAGTTCAAGTTAGTTCATTTCTATTCAGTACACAGCCACGACGTCACACGGCCCCAGCACGCGCTACAGTGAACATTAAATGGTGCTGATCAGCTGCGCTTGTGTTGAATATTTTTTTGATGCAGTTAGGCCGAAGAAAATATCTTAGATTACACTTCGGAAAAGCGCCGAACAATGAACAAATTCTGAGAATGCCTTGCAGAATCGGTCGGATATATTTTTGGTTCTGGTATTTGCAGAGGTCCCAGGTTCGATTCCCGGGCCGGGAGAAATATTTGTATGGCCTACAATTGTTTCTCTCGTGAGTTTGGGTGTAATTTGTGGTTGTCTAAGTGTGTGTCCATGGCACCCGCGACACAGGGTTTCCCTAGTGCGGGGCTATGTTGAGTGTGTGCGTTATTTATTTATTTATTATTTATTAATTTGCGGCTGTATAAATTTTCTTGTCTTGTATAAATTTTATGCGGAGAAAAGGTGGTAAAATTAACGGCGTGGAAGAAATATTGAACACATGGTCAGCTATTACTACTTAGGGGGTCATATAACATTTTCCAGAAATAACGTTAGTAACCTCGAAGGTAATTTTGAGAGGAAAATGTTTCTTCTTTTAAACCTAACTTAACCTAGCCTAACCGGATCTAATCGTGTCTTTGCGATAAACATCCAACATATCCTGAAAGAAGAACGGTTTCGTTATAATTCGGTTTTCGGTTTAATAATATAAAATATTCGAGTTTGTGATAGGTTACCCCACTTAGGGTCTTAACTGAAAATCAGTGCTGGGAACGCATTACGTTTTCCAGTAAATTCAGAGATTGTCCTTTTGTTTCTGCGGCTGGCACCACACAAAGTATCTCTATATCTAGTGTTATTTTTATTATTTGTGTGAATAATTTGTGTTTTAATTTAATAATTTTTTTATATACATACTTTTTACTTTTTTTACTTTGTTTTTACTTTTGTTTCGTAATTGTTTTACGTTGAATGTTTTAATCATGTTTTGTTTAATAATGTTTGATAACCTTTGCTGGTTTCGCGTAGTAATTAATTTACTGCCATTTTTATAGTAGATTATTGTATCTATGTGGATATTCTAGATAGTACACCTGGATATTATAATTTCGTAACTCTGGTACCTACTCGTGAAAACTGGAAAGATTCCGTGTTTCTACACCCGGTAATTGACTATCTTATACATTTTAGTGGAATCCAACATGGCGCTAGGCAGACGTGTAGCTTGTCGGTACCTTTCAATTTCACTTTTTCACTAACCAATCAATGATGCCGCGCACTTTGCGTAGAATACTACGGCCCAGCCGCGCAGTTTATGATATAATTATAGCCCATGTGTGAAGTAAAGTGATTTCTGCCGCCAAGCACTAATGTAGTCAGCATTACTGTGTTCCGGTTTTGAAGGAGTTATATATATAGAGTTATTAGGTGGTGGTGAAATTATAGACACATGCGACGTCTTCAACTTCTATCACAGGGTGACGGGCGCAGTGGCAGTGACGGTCAGATCTTTGCGATTTAAAGCTCCGAGTGACACTGTCACAATTATGGACAGGCGTGTAGTAAACCATCAGGCCTACGACTTGTTCGTCACGTCACTTGATATTATAAAAAAAAATAAAAAAGTTTAGCCCACACACTGGCCCTTTGATGATGTGGATTATATTATCGAAGAATAATGGCTTTATCCTTTTCCGACGTGCAGGCTTCATCGTAATATTTTCTTTAATGTATATAAACCAAAAAGAGACGCAGGCCCTCTCCTAGTGGATATGGAACACAGTAAACAGTATACACATTCGTCAAAGACAAAGTAAGCTTTAATTAGAACTACAATTAAAGCCACGATAGACCTTTTAAAAGTTTAATTATATTACTAGTAAAGGCTAAGAAAGTCAATATTTTAAGCAGCATATGGTGTGGTCACAAAAATCGCTCCAACTCCAGTAACAGCTCAAGTTAATATGTCTAATTTTGTGTAACCCATTGAAATAATAATTGATGTATTGTGTATAATTGATGTATTTCCGATACAGCAGTCTTTCAGTTGTCATTACCATGTGTGCCCCAGATATTCTCAATTCTATAATACAATTGTTAGCTTTATGCAAAAAAGCCTGGGTTCAATTGCTACTGCAGGGCCTGCTACACTGAGTCATTTAGAATCACGTTAAAACAAATTTTCGCTTGCTTTCACGGTCAATGGAAATACGATTATGAAACCTACTTTACTCTTTCAAGGCGTGTAAAGTCTTGAGTCGGCAATGGATCTTGGAGAAAACTTGCTTGATCCAGTATTTCATTCCACATGGGTTTATGGAAAAAAAACTTGATACATCATATACCTCTTTTTTAGGAAAGGAGTAATTTGGGTAATGTGGATTCACAATTATTCGTCTTGAATAAACGGAAAGACATCCAACCAGAACGTAAGAAAGCAAGGAAGGTAAATTATCACGCAAGTAATAGCTAAAACAAAATCGGGAATAGAACTACGCCTTGATGAACGCCGCTAAAGAAATAGCGTAAGGCTTCGCACGAAGCATCCCGAAGGCTGCCAAGACATCCTGTATATTTCAATATCACCAATAGTGTGTGTTTCGTATTGTCCCAGAATCCGAAATAGACTTAAATAACAGTTTTCTAAATAGTAAATTATATAAAAATTTCGTAGCAGTAGAGTTCCTTGTAAAAGAGTTCGTTCAGGAAAGTACTGCCACCTTACCAATTTCTGCAACTTGTGGTTTCCTCGATAGAAAAAAAATCCGAAGTTATCTCTAAAAAACAAAATAAACCTAACGGCCTAAATACTTCAAGGAAGGTCATCAGTTTTTGGTATATTTTTTTATAATATTAGGTGACGGGGCGAACAATTCGTGCGCCTGATGGTAAGCTACACGCCTATCCATAACAGTCGCAGTGCTATTCAGAGCTTTAAATCGCAGAGATCTGAGGGCACTGCCACTGCGCCGTCACACTGAGACAACAGTTGACAAGTCCCATGTGCCTGCAATTTCACCAGTACCCTTATCCTTCAAAACAGGAACACATTAATGCCGACATTACTGCTGCATCACGGTTGACTGACAACCTTTGATTGTCAACCGTGACCATGGGACCTGTAAAGGGCCCGAAACGTCGGTTTGTTTGAAAAAACAAATATACGCGATTTAAATCCGGAAAAATAGTTTCATTTCCTATAACTAATTAAACTAATAAATAATTGAATGAAACTAACAATGTCAAGTGTATACAGGAAATGTCAATATTGATTCTTAATAACTAACAAATGTACATTACAGTATAATACGGTGAATGTCAAATTCATTAATAAATATAATAATTTAATTATTTATTAAGTACTTTGAGTGTACTCTGTTACTTAGTAAAGGGACTTTTCCAATAAAAGGTGCTACAGTCTGCACCTGAACGTTTCCTCACAACATTCGTTTGTTAACTCGGCAGGTAGGTGCTCATAGTAGGTCGGTCCTATAACCCGCAGGATTTTTTCGTGAAGTGCAGTGCGACGTGGTACTGATCGGACTCGTCCCGCACGACGGGAGCATCCACCCATCATCTCCACTCGCCCAAACTGTGCTAAGTGCTTCCGCGTGAGCACAATGAGCTCAAAAACATATTGCGAGTAGTGGGTCATTTTTCGGTGTACACCAAACAGCGCCTTGCAGGATTGCCTCTGGATTATGCCAATCATAGTTCGTAATGCTCGCACGAAAGTGTCCTATTTCGGCCGTCAGACGTGGAGGTTGTGTCGCTTGGGCTTACACACGGCTTTAAAAACTTATACCATACCCACGCATACACGGAGCGTATAAAATACCTAAAATCAAATCAAAAGCGCCAGAAGCTCGGTGCCCTCTTAAGGATAGTAGGTTCCTACAACTAATCGAAATAAATATTTTATTTACAGAAAAGAAAGCATAATGCAGACCAAGCTAATGAAATCGCAACTGAAAACACGGATAGTATTGAAGTCGTAAGTTTTATACTACACAAAGTTTCTTTCAACTAGACACGTGGCGGTGCGTCTATCAACGAGCAAATAATTAAGTGTAACTTTTAATTTTTTTTTTTAAACTGAGAACGAGTTTGTGGAATTACATCTATTTGACAAGTCTTATTGAAATCGGTTAACGGAAAGCGGGTGAAATCCAATAAACTGGTTTTTCCCCTAATCCATCTTTAAATTTAAATCGAACCACTACTCCGGTGCCTCAGTAGAAACCGGTTTCTAATATAAGAACTTCTTGCAAATTATTCTCGACCCTCTATAATTCAAAATCTATTTTACTGTACACACTTGTTCGATGGATAAACGATTCGAATGAACTAAGAACTCACTTTTTATGCTGGGTTCTCACGGCCTGTGATTTCAAAGGCCGCTCCGCGCCGCGCCGATTTGAACAGGCGAACTAGGACCACAGGCGAGACCAGGCGGCCTCGGGCCGCACGTGTAGTTGCGTATACATGCACCAGAATACTCTGGTGTGTGTGGAGAGCTCTAATGTAATTGTAGGTACTATTCGAAAATATCAGTGACCACTTTTATGTTGTACAGTAGATACAACAAAAACTTAATAAAAAGAACAAGAAGAAAAGACGCCGCTGGGTGGTATTATTCAACAAGAACAGATCGAGATAACTTCTTAAGATTCTATTGAATTGAACATACGTACTTTGCTTTACCGATTCATATTAATTATTCAAATTAACACTGTCAAACAAGGAATAATCGTCAAACGCACGTGCTCTCGCACCGCCCCCTTGAAGATACCGCAGATATACGCAGAGAATCCGATGGGCTTTCGCAGGCGAGCCCGCTCGTGCTCGGACGGCCCTCTCCCACAGTGCGTTGGCGCGAGCTCATACGGAGCGGCCCATGACACCACGGGCCGTGAGAAGCCAGCATTACTCCTCTACTGCTATTTGAAGATATATGTATAAATACATTTAAAATTACCGGTTCTCCTTGAAACACATACGTGTCTGATTCAGAACAACCTTACGTAATAATTCAATTAAAACTTTATGTAAACAGATTACAAATAAGCTTAACAAAGAGACGTCGTACTGGATTAAAGAGTTTCTCAATTATATTACAGGTTAAAGTATATAATTAACATTCTAACAGGCTTGTTCTTTCAAATGAAATAAAGTTTCAGGCTTGTTCTTTCAAATGAAATAAAGTTTATTATCGAGTTCTTAGGTTTTCGCGATACCAAATATTGAAAATGAAACTTTTTTCAGGTCCAAACAAATGAGTTTAATTTAGTAAAAAAAAAAAATATTTTGTTGAAATATTTTTAAGTCGTTTGTAACGTAAATTAGAATGTTCTTTGGTAAATTAAAACAAAGTATTTCAATTAATAACTTTTGTAGCTATGCTGTTCTATAGGGTAGTTTGCATTAATATTATAGGTTTGACAACTACTATCTTAGTCAGGCATGATGCCATGCGAACGGTAAAAAACCTAAAACGCTGATTTTTTTTGCAAAAAAAATATACGCTTGTGGAAATTGTTTTGATTTTTTTGATATTTTTTTAAGAATTTTGAATTTACACTTGTGGTGTTAGTCGTTTGTTTCCGTCGCTGTTTAATAAATAATATAATAAAGATAAAATAATATAATTTATCTACATTTGCATGACAATTTAGTCTTAAATAACATCATCTATAGTTACATATATTGTGTAGAGAAAAAAGAAAGAGTCTCAGCTTAAGCTGTTTTTCAGACTCTACCTTTTTGAAGAAACTCGCTACGTTTCAATGACAGTAGTTGTATGACGCGTATATCATATATCGCTTAAACTTAAAGTTATAATCCTATTGTAACGATGGTACCAGTGCTAAATAAAATATTAAATTTCAAAATACTCCAATTCAAAGTTTAGATACGGATGAATAGTGTCTATAAATAAAAATATAAGAATGTAAGCAACATCCAATTACTTCCCGATCCTTGCTTCGAAAGTAGCCAAAGCTTGCATTTTCTTTTCAAAGTGCAAGATTATTTTGAGTTTCTTATTGGAAGAGACAAATGATTCCAGCACTTATTTTTGTATTCATCTATTTCTTCAAACACTGTAAGCGTTAAAAAAAGTACTGTGAGAGAGACGTGGAGTCATCGGGTCACGTGTGAGCACTATTATAATTTAAGCTTCTCTACACATAAAATATTAGAGTCAGGAACATAAAGGTTTACTTTCAAGTAAAGCATATAAATTTATAAAAACCAAAAACCCAAATAAAACATGCGGTTTTTTCCCTATTAAGAATAAACGATCTAAAATCGAAACGCGTTCACTTGACCCGCATTGCGAGACTCTGTGCGCTCACTTATGGGGTAAGTAGACGCACATGGGTTATGTGAGTTCTTTGCTTGCTCATGGTTAAAATAAATATAATAATAAAGTATTCTTTATTAAAAAACCTAAATATTTTTGAATTGTATTGTTGATATTACTTACTGTGTGTAATATAAAAACATTAAAAATAATGCAATATTAAAAATAGCGAAAAACAATTGTGACAAATTTCACTCGTTACTATAAATCGAACGATATGATAGTTGAGGCCGACTCTAGTTTGTCTATGAATTAAAAAAAAACTGCGGTTGCGTGATATGCTTAGAGGATGTATGTAATAGTCTAAGGTGACATGCGTGAGAAAAGTTTATATTTGCCGCCATTTCGCCAGTCGTAACATGCGGTTCCTGGGGGCCTACCATAACCTTTCAAAAAACAATCTTATTTCAATGTAAGCATAAAGTAAGCTTATTATAATATTACTCATATTCATACCATGACAAACCTATTAACCAAGTAAAATGTATAATTGCTAAAGTGACTGAAAGAACGAATGATTTCCCAATATTAACTATTCTTTACTAAAAATAGGTAAGAAATAACGCTATGCATCTCTTTCTTTTTTGATGTTCCGAATCGTCCTATCGTGGTATAAAGATAAAGTACTTAACATTATTTACATTCAGAGAATTTTAACTGCAAAAAAAAAGAAAAGGATGTAATAATGAAATCTACTAAAATTACTTTGTTTTCAATTATTTTTCCGCATTTTCATGAAGCAAAATAAATAAAACAAAGTGAGTCTTGATTGTCACGTTGTGAATTCGGAATTATAGTCTACTGTCAACTGTCAGTTTCACCAAGGAGCATATAGATGTCGCTGTCATAATTTTACGAAATAAACATGGCGTATTTTTATTTAACGGAAAATTATTTCCTATGTACTATTAAAAAAAAAACAAAATATTGAACAGATATATGTAAATAAATAAGTCCAATTTAATTTTTAATCATTACAAATCAATATTAAGACAATAAAACTTAAAATAATATTGTTTCCATTGCATCCGTGTAACTACTTATTTTAAAATTGCTAAATTTGACATAAGAGCAATATTACTTTAATGTTAAAGTCGCGTCATCGTATGAACTGAGTGAATGAATAGTCACACAGCTGCCAATAAAACATTATAGTAAGCTTACTTTAAGCGCGTCCTGGTCACACCCCGGACAATCCATACAACGGTCGAAAATTATTTACTACTACTACATACAGCAAGGCGCTATCTGCACACGCGCAAATGTGTGCGTGAAGTGGCAGGATTACCCATCACTTGCTCGTACTATTACGTTACGTGATCAGAGCGGCAACATAGCGAAAATTCTAACGCGAATTTGTTATCCATAATTCTATTACAGAATCCTAATAATTACACATGTTCATTATGCGTTTATATCGATATAATATTATATTTTTCCTTAATTCACTAACTAGAATAATATTGAAGACTTATTTAAAAAAATATATTAAAAGCACTTTGGACAGGTACCTTTAAAAAAGGTAACCAAAGTATTTGATTATTGCGTGTCCAACTTTATCATTACCATTACATTTATTATAATAATTAGGTATATTCGCTACATAATATTTATCGGCAATAAGTATTTAAAATTCGAGAACCCTCGTCTAGCTCACGAAGTTATGGCATCTTATTATATTGGTACAATAAATCTGTATTATATATTACTCTGTACTAAAGAAAACAATAACTGAATGAGTCTCAGACATAAGTTTATTTACTTACTACGTTTCATCTTTCAAAAAACGAAAGAAACTACTCTCTTTATCCCGTTTAGATGATTATAAACAGCCGTACACAGCAAAATTCCCGTACATTATAAATAGTAACGTAAAATGATATTACATGTTAACCTACAAATTTCGTAATGAATAAATGAAAACTATATTCAAATATCAAAGCCGTCTTAGCGCGGAAACGGCTGGCCGACAGCCTTGTTCTCGTTCAGTCATTGTGACCGTCAATGTGCGGGGTGTAGTGCGGTATCTAAAGCTAGGGAGGGGCGGAGAGTGTCCGTTCTCGTTACTTATTTCTTCTCTGTCGTGGTACAAAAAGTCAATATAAAGTTAAAGTAATATTGTTTCAAGAGGTTGTGGTAGGCCCCCTGCACATCATAGAGAGCTTATAATGTGTGTATAGATAAAACAGTGTATGTAACTGTACATAATTAGGCATTAAAACACTCGTGTGTCGTTTTTATGAAACTCGCCAGTATTTTAATACCTTTCATTATGTAACAGTCACAAAATTTAGTTCACTACTACTACTAATTTAGTTTTAGTTTCATTGTAAGCAAAATTATCCTAATTGACATTTTAAAAAAATACTTTAGGTGGCAATATCTTGAAAGTTATCAAAATCAAAATCCGTTAGTTATAACAGAATTAAAGAGGAAACAAAAAAATATATGAAAAATCGGACATTAGAACGAAGTTTTTTACTCTATTTGCAGGACTATTTTGATATCGATGAACAACAGGAAGGAGAAACTTATCTTGAGTCATATGTAGAATATGAAGAACATGAGAAACGCGAAGCTAACAATTCTGCGAGCTTAGAAGACGTAAGTGACTCTATTGGCGCAGTGGAAGTAATTGACTTCCTTTTGAAGACCGGGATCCTAGTAAGTTTTGTTTGTAATTACATTGACATATGTATACGAGGGGCAGTCAAAAAATAATGCCTCCATCGCTCTAACTTTTATGTCTTTCAAAGCTACTAAACTATCTATGCATGGTATTACAGAGGTAACCTAACCTACTCTACTTATATACTGTTGTCGTTTTTAGATAGATTCATTTAAAGCTACTAAGATATCCATGACATACAGTGGTAACGTTACTCTGTTTTTATACTCTTGTCATTTTCATATTGACTAATTAGATCAACAGATTTGAAGCTAAAACAAAGAACTATTATTGTGTTTCTGGTAAAAGAAGATTGTGCACCTAAGGAAATCCATAATCGCTTGTAGAATATTTATGGTAATGCTGTAATGGATATCCAAACTTTGCAGTATCTCGTGCCATCAATTATTCCCTGGACAGAGCCTTATGAGACTTTAAGTACATCAGCAACATTCTGAATAGTTACGCGTCGGTCTCTTCGAATCAATTCCTCACCACGTTCTCGATTTGTAATTCACTTCTCGGATTTATCTGCAATTTCCCTTTCTCCATTTCCAAACATTTTTACCCAGTGCCGCACATTGATGATGACTTCCTTAGGTATACAACCTTCATTTGCCAGAAACTCAACAATAGTTATGATTATGGATATAAAGATCGAACACATACAAAAATTTCGTCAACCAGGAGGGACTTGAACCCACGTCCATGCTGCACCGTAGCATTGCTCAAACCATCTGAGCCACGAGTCCAGTTGCCGAGTCGTCAAAATTCTCCTATATATCCTAGTATAGTATATAGTAGTATAGTCCTATGTGTTTTTATTATAGATCTTGGTATTGAGCTTTCGGCTTTCGTCGTCGCTAGTGACAACCAACCAGCTTCAAATCCTGATACTGACCTAATCGGTCAATTTGAAAATGAAAAATGTAAATAAATAGAGTTAGGTTATCTTTATAATACCAATCCATGAATAGATAGTTCAGTAGCTTTGAAAGAAATAAAAGTTAGGACGATGGAGACATTTCTTTCTGATTGCCCCTTTTATACATACAGACACGCAAACAAAGATGTCAAACTTGTAATTCCCCTCTTAGTGCATCGTGTATTGACCTACCAACAGGTAGAAGCTGGATATCGTGAATTTTTGGGCCTTTAAATTGTTGCAAGCAAGACTGCAACGACGTTACAATTTAAATTAAATAACTATTTTTTCGGATCTAAATCGTAGTCAGTTTGTACTACCAGTCAGCTGTGACCGTGAAATCTTTCTAGGGCCCGAAACATTTGCTTGTTTGAAAAAACAAATATACGCAATTTGAATGTTTTATTTTTTTTTATATTTCTTTACATTTCCCTACGTTTATATAGGTCCGCTCTTCGGTATTTTTTTCGTGGTTTAAGTATTAGATCCATCGTCATATATCCATCTAATAGAATATTGTGAAAAACATTCAAAGATATCTACTTAACTCAAAATGAGAGAAACTTTTTCTGATCTAGTTCTGTACAAAGCAGTCCTTACTTAACAAGATGAAATGATTTTTTCCCTTTTATTTTTAAAATGTTTGGTGAGTAGGACATTATTTAGATGTCTGTTATAAAGTTTAATCTATATTTCTAAAGTTGAATGTAAATTTTAATGATCTTTCACGGGAAGTGAGTAATTCGTTTCTGATCGATTCTGAAAAAATACACTTTTCGAGTTAATACACTATTGTATTAACAGTGCGATATATTACATTAGAAACAATTGTCAAAAATATAAATACTCTTTAAATTCAGTAGTGTTTCTATCGCACGGTGAAATCAATAATGTCGCTAAACATAAAGTCAACTTTCGAAAAATGGCGTTAAAAATTTATGAAAAGAATTTAAATTAAAAAACCGCGAATTTCGTTTGGTGGCGGTTTTATTTTGAACGTGTGATATGAGGAATATAGTATATTGGTATATGATAAAGATCTGAATAATGTTAATATCGGTTCTACGTAAGATCTTATTAACACTTCAATCCCGTTATTTTGGTTCAAAACAATCATTATTGTTAGTAACAGCCAGTATAGTTAAACTCTTGCGCCACATCTTGTCCTATTAGATATATGTCTATTTAATGAATTTCATTTACGGTAATGGGTGCAAAGTAAATACATACACCATTATTTATCATGGCAACTATTCTACCCTCCCAGTCGTAACTAACTGATTTGCATTTCGATAATTTTCGAAACATTGAGACTTAAAGTTTTATTGTGACCTAAAAAAATATCTAACACAGATTTTGCTTCAGAATGAAACTGAAACTAAATAAGATATTAAAAAACCAATTAGAGGGGGTTGTAGATCTAGATTTGCTGGTCCCGGATATGTTAATAACTCAATTTAGCTAATAATGTCGATTATGTTAGTTATGATAAGGGAGGCAGTATTCTCGTGCGATCGATTATATAACCAGAAATAGAGACGAAATGTCATTTCATTTGTTTGAAAACTATTCTGCCAAATCATTGCGCTCCGATTGGCCAGCCCGAATTCGAAACAATTGACGGGTGCAGTCAATTGTTTTACTTCAAATCGACTAGTTTAACTTGAGCTTTGTTGTAATGGACGAAAATTGAAAAATTACATTTTTAATATTTAATTATACCAATGAAATGTAATGAACTAATGACCGATGAGATGTTTTACAGTTTTTCCCACACCACCGAATGGAACAGCCTCCCATTATTGGGGATATTATCTTTATTACAATAAATATAGAATATTTATGGAATGTATGGAGACGTGCACACAGGTCAATTGTTGGCACTGTACTATTTCAGCTTTCTAATTTGTGATTTGAGCGCAAACGAGAGTAAATATTTAAAAGTGATATAAGGCCCATTTGCCTGATGTGTTGCCAAGGATGGATGGCCCTTATTTAGTCTCTACTTCTGATTATATACTCGATGTCTCGTGCACATATTTGGTGTAACGCTAAAAAAAATATTGAATTTATGATAATGTAACTTAGTATATAACACTTACATAATGTAACATACTACATAAGAAATAACAAAGATAAAAAAGGAACGTTACCTATATTTAAAATCTATAATATTGTTTAACCAAAATTCATTCATTCTTTTTTTTTCGAATGAAAGTTCTGGTAAGTGTTTGACCAGTGGTTCATTGTGACCATTGTTATCACAATTCTACCTTTTTTAACTTTCCTATAAATATATATTATATATATGACGATAAGCATATACTCAAATAAAATTAAAATTTATAGAACGACCCGAGAAACGCCTATGAGAAAGATGTAAATAAAATGACTGATTATGAAGATAAAACAGCCTATCCGGAAGAAAAGCACAAATACGAAAAAAATGGAAAAGTGAGTATACGTTTTAGTAATTAATAAGAACAGTAAATAGATTTTGCAAGCTTACCAATTCAGATTATCAATATTTAGTAGACGCACAATTGATAATTTCAATTGGTAATCTTGCGTTTGTACGCAGTATAATCCATCTTTTTCGAAGACAGAGTAAAATGACAGTTCATTGTGCAAAAGTGTTGCCCGCTTGTAAGCAACTATTGATTGCAGTCGATAAATATTACATCGACTACCGACTGAACGCATCAGCGGCCCATTATGTGTACAACTGCTAGGCAGAGATTTATTTGAATTGTTGACTTTTGAAAATTCATTTATATTACATAAATTTAGAAGTATGTGTATTAATAATACAAATAGAAGATATCTGTTCAAGATTTTCATGTTAATTCAAATAAACAAATCCGCCTGTCATTATTAAAATGTTTCAGTATAACTAAAATAGATTTTGATACTAACAGACCAACTGTTGAAATAAGAATAAAGAATACTTTTAACGCAATTAGTAATCATTAGAACGTCGTAACATTCACAACTCGGTCATTTTTGGCAAAATTTTAACTACTTTCACAATCTATCGATAAAACTGTCGACAACTACTACGTGACTATAAAATTTTACGAAAACTGGCAATCCTGCAAATGTCATTTTGCTCTATCTTCAAAACAATACAGACAATAGGATTACACAGTATGGCGTTCATGATCATAATATTCATATATCATCGACGAATAACTCCAGAGGACTTCTAATCTCTATACTACAGATCGGAACTCTAAAAAAGGTCTAAATCCTGTCTTATCGCTAGCCTGGAAGTAGTTGATAATAATTATGTAAATAGTTGTGAATATCAATTAATATGAAATACAAGTAGTCTGTTTATTTTTCCCTTGTAATATCATCAAATATTGACCATGAGCTTAATTTATTTTCTGAACTTTGACAAATATATCAATAGATGGCATTGTGTGTTTCAAACTAATTTATAAATTATTTCCGCTTGCTAATGGGTAGATGGCGCTAATCCTAACCTAAACAAAATAAAATATTAGTCGGCAGTATCCACAAAATACTGTGTTCAGCGCCATTTAGTTAATTCGTTTGTTATCACTACAAATTCGAGTAGCTTTAATAAATGCAACTCATCTATGTTTTTTTTTATAACATCAAGTGACGGGACAAACAAGTCGTACGCCTGATGGTAAGCTACACGCCTGTGCATAACAGTTACAGCGCCACTTAAAACATTAAAAGAGCTAAGATCTGAGGGGCACTTAACTACCACTGCGCCGTCACCTTGAGACATAAGTTGACAAGTCCCAAGTGCCTGTAATGCTGACATTACTGCTTGACAGCTGAAATAGATAAGGCGACAGTACTACCCCGGACGAACTCTTTCGCAAGGAGCTCTACTGCTACTAAAAATGTAAAACAAATTAGTTAGAAAAATAGCTATTCGGTACTCGTCGCGACATGAGTCCCTCTACCACGAGTTTACCGTGACAGTTGTCGCTAGCGACCGCGTAAATTACTTCAGAATTCTGGCAAATTTTACAACGCTACTAGCGGTCACGAGAAGAAATAACATTTTGTATATAAACATTTTACTTTAAACTTTGTCACTGTAAACTGTAGTCTCGTGGTGTACCAATAGCACACCCCAGACACTCCACACAACGGTCGAAAGTTATTTACCTACTACTACTACATAGGTACAGCGAGGCGCTATCTGCACACGCGCAAATGTGTGCGTGAAGTGGCAGGTTAAAAAAAAGGTTACCCATCACTTTCTCGTACATTGTTAGAGCTGCAAGGTAGCCAAAATTCTAACGCGAATCTGTTATCTATAATTCTATTAATAGTAATCCTAATAATTAATCACGTTCATTAGGTATATATATAAATATAATATTATATTTTTCATTAATTTACTAAATAGTATAATTAAAACTGAAGGTTTTTTTTTTAATTTAAAAGCACCTAAAATGTTACCAACTTTATCATTACTTACTTAATAATTATATTCACTACATATTTATCGACAATACAAATTGAAAATTCGAGAACCCTTGTCTACTGTATTACATCTCATTACATTGATATAATAAATCTGTATTATATATTACTCTGCACTAAATAAATGAAGGCAACAATAACCCAATGAGTCTCAGACTTGTTTTTTTTACTTATCTCGCTTCATCGAAAAGGAAAACAATTCTTCTCATTATGCCGTGTTTAGTAACGTACAATGATGTTATATATTAGCATTCAAGTTTCGTAAGGAATAAATGAAAACTATATTCTAATATCAAAGCCGTCTTAGCGCGAAAACGGCTCGCCGATAGCCTAGTTGCCGTTCGGTCAATGTGACCGTCAATGTGCGGTGTGTGGTGCGGATAAAACTAGGGAGGGGCGGAGAGTGTCCATTCTCGTTACTTTTTTGTTCTCTGCCAATAGGTACTAAATACTTGACTACATTGTCTTGTATCGCGATTAGCACTCCTCTTGAGTTATTGGTTCATGGTATTAATATAATTACAGCGTTTTTATCATGTCTGAATGGTTAAATGGAACAGTTTTTTACAGGAACAGGATTTGCACAAAAACTATAAAAATGAAATTGAAGCAGGAGAGTTAGCCAACATGGTGCAGAATAAACGTCATTTTGTTCCAATGAAATATCGTTATGATGATTTAGGACGGCGTTTCATGTTGCAACATCCAAAAATAGAAGTTCAAGTTAGTTCATTTATATTTAGTTTTTTACACGATCACTGGCGTCACACGGCCTAGCAAACGCTCCAGACCATTTTAGGAAACATACTTTATGTACATTATTAATTAATAGATCCAGGCGAACATTTATGATATCGAGGACGGGACGAACAAGTCGTGATACGCCTATTCATAACAGTTGCAGTGTCGCTCAAAACTTTAAATCTTTAAGAACTGAGGCGCACTGCCACTACGCTCGTCACCCTGAGACATAAGTTGACAAGTCCCATGTGCCTGTACTTTTACCAGCACCCTTCAAAACGGCAATTCTTTCTCTACGATGGCAAGCATAGATAGAAAGAAGACTGCATGGTGTCAGAAACAGGTAAGATGGCAGTAGTTCTCTGGACCAAATCGCAAGGACCTCTCCTAATTATCCTAATGTACCTACCTACATAACACACCGTATTGCGAAGTATGTGGAATTCCTACATTGAACCTGCGTTGTTTGGAAATACAAATATACGCAATTTAGATTAAAAATTATTTCATTTCCTGTTTCAACATGTCTAGAAAGGTATCCGAGTACAATTTGATTGAAAAAGAATAATTGAATTCCTGAGTCAAGCTGCATTAGGGCAGAGCCGGCGCTAGCCGCCCTTTAGTATGCACGCGATCAAAATAGAATATAAACTGACATTTTCCCCAATGATCGGAAATTCGGTTTCACATGGTGCAATTAAGTCGGGTACTGATTACCGACCTGTAAACTATAAGTTACAGATACAGCAACTGGGCTCTAGAGCGTACGCGTGGAACAGTCTTCGCTAGAATGAGTACCAGGGCCCCAATTTTTCTCATTTTCTTGAAACCTAATTTCCTTGGTCATCGTAATTCCATTGAAACGCCACTGCGATTTAATTATAATTATGATAATATTTGTTATTCTGATAAAATCTAGTTGCAATAGTAATAGAATGTCAGTGGAATGGCAGTGATAGTATTCCTTCATTCAGTTACTAACGATACCATTGAGTATATAACAGAAATAGATTTCATATCATTTACTTTTCATTTATATGTCATTTAATTTGTTTAAAAACTATTCTGCCAAACAATTTCGATGACAACTGCACTCCGATTGGCCAGCCCGAGTTCAAAACAATTGACGGGTGTCGTCAATTGTTTCGAAACTCTAATCACACTACGGTGTTTTACGGATCTTCCCGTTAATAAAAATAGAAACTCTTTATTCTATTATATAAATTAAAATTATAAAATTAAAAATAGTAAAAATAACAACCTAATCTAAAAATTATATTGTGGCTTCTGACTTTGGAGCTGATAAGTGAGTGACGGTGAGTCACTTGAGTTAAAAGAAAATTCGCGTTGCGTATTTGAGCTGTCACGAACGTTTTCTTCATCACAAGGTTGAAAATCGCTCAAAGATTCTGGGTCTGAATCATTTTCAATCAATAAATAATTGATATCATTTTCAGAAAGATTGCAAGCCCTTGTTATGTACTTAATAAATAAAGTAACATATATGGAATCGCGGGTCCAATTGGACCGGCGACAGCACATTCCACTTCCAGTAGGTTTCAAGCTCTGAACGCCCAGTAGCTACCGCTCCTAGCGACGTCATGAGATTAGCTTGGCGTGCAAAAGTGAAACTATGCCCGTTTTGAAATAAAACGTTTTTTTTGGTGTTGTCAGGTTCAAATTGACCCATGTTTCCAGTTAAGGGTTAAAATTGGCAGACTTGGGGCCCTCGTTATCGTCAGCTCACTGTGAACTTCAAGTATTCCGCTCGCAACAAACTCACGAACCACGTACGCACTACCCAACAAGCACAAAAGCTGCTTACATAATTTCTGTATAACCTAAAAGTTGTATATTAGCTGTTTAAGGGATTTACTATATAGTACATAAGTTCTTCAGTAGCATATACAAAAGTTATTAAACAGGGGCAAATCGTACAATAGCCGTACAACGGTAAATGTAATCCTAAGACAGATAAAAAGACTAGTCATAGAGCTATTGTATAAGCATATAAATACCCTTTACAACACCGTGAGGTCTTTTGAAGTTAGAAGTGTTTAAATGGAGTTATTAGCCTCCTTTAAAATGTTTTAGGTGGTATATCGTATATTTCTAAAGCTTTTATAACATCTTGAAGTCTTGTAGATGGTTTTTGGAGTTAGAAGTGTTTGAATGGAGTTATTAGCTTCGTTTAAAACGCTTTAGGTGGTATTTAGTATGTTTCTAATGCCTGGAGCTGTTAAATAGATTTTACTACAGCCTTTGGAACGCTATATCTACAGCAGAGAAATATATTTCTAAAGTAGCGCTTAGGCCGTAGTTGGCTATGATTTTTGATAACATAACATGCATCGGTTACGGTTACAGCTTGCTAGTGAGTACCTGGCTTTTAAATTATGTTGGGAAGCAATAGCCTGGTTACTTCTTTTGCGCGGCGAGAGCCGGCGCTCAGCGCCCCGTAGTAACACCCTGTAACGATGCGACCTCTTTCGTCATCACCATTTTATCGCCCTTTCCTCTGGTTCCTGGCCACTTACTTTTCAAATTTTGAATCGTTCTCTAATTCTTTTTCTTCGCCATTCCTACTTTGCTTTGTTCCGTCGTTACTCCCATCAAAATTCTCGGAGACCGTATCCTCCTATCACGTAAACGTAACTGCTTGTAAAGCAGCAATATATTTCATTCGAATACAGGTCCTTTTGGCCCTCTCCTTCCTTTCTTCTTTCCGTCACCTTTTCCCTACCGTTTTACTTCTAAAATAAATTCATGTGGACCTAACGTACGTACGTTTCTATCATTATTATTCACACCGTACGCGGTGCACCATAGGTAAAGCCACTGCATTGAGTAGTAATTGCCTATTTTCATTCCTTCTCACCGCACTTGTTTTCTTTCTAACTCATTTATTTACTCTTCAGGTAATACGCTCTGCCGCCCCATATTCAATAACGTATTTATGTGTATATAGGGTGCTTATATAAGTATATTTAGTCAAATATTATTATAATAATATGTTACAATTTATATTGTGTTTAAACTATATGTCATAATTATTTCTAAACTTGTTCCTATCTGTTTTTAATAATCATGTTATGCACCCTTGTTAATTATTTTGAACCCAGCTATCCGGTTCACTGGTAGAGAATGTCTAATGGCCTTAAGTCCGCCATTTGTACTGTATTGTTTGCAATAAAGTTTAAATAAATAAATAAATAATAGGTACCCAATTAATCGAAAGAAATATTTTATTCATAGAAACAAATACATACTAAAAGCAAAGTCAATGAAATGCCAAAAGAGAACAAAGACTCTCGGAAGAGGATTTCTGGCGTAAGTCTATTCATCATTACTATTAAAATATTTTACTATTTATTATAAAAAAATCCTATCCAGCGGTGGGACTTATATGAGTTTGATGTAGGTATAATCTGTTCCAACCCTTTCCAATGTTTGGTTAAAATTCTAAAGCACCCAATAAATCGAATAAGTAACACTTTCACGTATATTTCGAAGATTTCGACTTGATATTTCATCACTTTTTCCAAGAATATTCATTTTAACAGCATCATAAAATCGTATTTGTAAAATGGTAGTCCAAAAGTGAGGTTATTTTTCATCTATACTTTTATGACTTGTCTATGGTTGCATAGTGCTGTACGAAAAAAACATTCCGTTCATTCAATGAAAGTTTTCGTAACCGATTGGTAAATCGAAAATTTCAGTATCTATTTGAAGGAGGATTTAAAATTAAGATTTCGGAAATTTTAAATATATGCTTTTATAGGTTACGTGTATTTTCACTATTCATTACAATTGACCACCACCAAACCGTCTATGGTTAGGTCAGTGACTTGTTTGTTTAATTTTTGTTTAAAATGGATTGAAACAAGTATAGGTTCAGTCATAGAAAAGTATGGTAACTCCACTCACACGCAGTAGCGTGGCTTAATATTAACTTTAGAACTAAGTCCAATCACATAGTACTACGATTTCGTTTAGCTAAGGTAAACGAATCTTTTATGGGGAACTGTATACGTTTTAACAATAAAATTCTGCAGCATATAGGTCCTAAGATGATCATTTCCTAAGTTTAAAACTTACATTAAAAGTATTTTAATTGTAAAGTCATATTACCAAATTGAAAAGTATGTGTTAGATGAAGATGTATAGAAAGACAACATGAGTCTAGATTCCAAACAATTATGATTCAAAGTGTAATCCATAGCATTTAAGTTTATTGGAAAAGAACAATCCCTAGAGTACCTTGCTCGTTCTTCTCAGGGAGGTCACCGCGTGAACGAGAAGTAGCTTAAAAAATGACGTTTTGAAGTGTAAAAATTTTGCTTATGGAATAAAATAGGAATAAATGATTGTTTGACTTTGATTATGCTTATATGTGTGCGCCCCCGACGGCCGCAGTGTAGGTACACACTCTTCGCATTGTAATTTGCTTCAAACTTATAACTCCCCTCTTTTTGCGTCAGGAATTAAAAACACACTATTTATATCAATTATTAGATGGAATTCGACTATATAGCACAAGACGTGCTATCCAGCCTGTCTACTAGCTCAGAAGAAGAACCTGGCTTCAAATACAATACAATTTTTCAAGTAAGGTTTGTTTACAATTAAATTTCGCTTTTTCTTATCGGGTACGCAGACATGACAGCGTTCCACTTGAGACGTTCGCGATACACATCTTTCGCTTCATCAACACGCATCAATGCTTTCATATATGCTGCTCTTTCATTCAGGGTGCTCTTGATCGATCAGGGCTTACATAAACATACCTGAAGCACTACATTAAATCGACGCTGGAAGGTAAAACGACCAACGTGCATTTGGAAAGAAAAAAAATCTTAACTCTAATTTTATTTGCCATATGGATAACTAGATAGTTGCAGCTTTTCCATGTAGATACCAAATAAAACTAGAGTTATAATGAAATGTTCTTAAAAAAATCACTTTAAATCGCTCTCCTGTTCGTAATGCATGATAGACATTTTACCTTTCCAGGTTCGATATATTATTATGAAATTTACAGCAATTTTAATTTTAATTTTTAAATAAAAATTTTCGTGATTTCAACCTGTATTAATGGGATCATGGTACTTCTCCATTTTCACATAACCTACCATGGATCTGTAGCGTAATAAATGCCGTAACGCGTGGGTTTAATGGCTTTAATTGAAACAGGAAGGTCCCGCCCATTACAAACAACTTTTATTATGGGGACTCTCTGATGTTGTGAAAAAAAAAATTGTTTCATATTAAATATTTATGCCCCACTCGACTAAAAATATTCATATAATGAAACGACATCATCGATATCAATTTATTACACATTCCTTAGCTGGGGACAAAGATGGGTGTAATACATGCTGTTATTTAATTGAAATATAAACTGCTACTTCTTTCTTATATGTATTTAAATTATAATATACAACACAATATTTTCATTACAAATGACAACTATTTCTTACGCGATTTTTGTTCCAAAAAATAGTTTCAGCCCCATTATGTGGCTTTGGCGAAAACCTAAGGACACGATAAGGTCATCAAATAATAATCAAATCATTACTACGAACCGGACACCACAAATGTATTTCAAATGTCAATTAATAATGGATGTTTTGGGTTACAATACATTTGGTACTTGGTGTAACGGGCTGGTGTCCGCAACTCGACGTCAAGGCGCTTATTTCACAATACATTTTTCTTTATGTATTTTTTTAAAGCCCCGCACTTATAGCGGATGCCATGGACACACACATTGACAACCACGAATTACACCCAAACTAACCTGAGAAATAAATGAAGGCCATACAAATATTTCTCCCGGCCCGAGAATCGAACCCGGGACCTCTGTGTGGCAGTCCAGTATGGTAACCGTTTTGTAGGCAGTTATGTACTGTACAGAGAGGATTTAGGCCACAGCTCGTCACGCTGGCCCCATGTGGTTTGGGGACTTGACTGGCTTTCAAACGTTTGTGTGCCATCTACCAGATTTCAGGCTTCGAGACGCAAGGTATTGGTACTAAACACTTCCAAAGAGCCATGTTTACTAAGATTGAAGTTAAAGTCATTGGTATATACGTCACAGGAATTCAAACCGCCCCCTCCCAATTAATAAGACGCAACTGTTTCCCACTGATTTACCACCGCTCTAAATAATAAATGGAACAGTCGAGTATTTTACGCAATTTTCAATCGGCCTATATACAAAAAGTTATTTATAACGATTATAACCTGTATGGTAATAACGTATTTAGTACACCATCCCGTATAGTACGCACATGTAGGTACAAAGTTCGGGCGCCATCAAATTAGACTCTTGTAAAAGCACTGCAGTGGCGAGACCGTGGCGCTTCAGTAATTTTTAGTTCACTAATTGCATTGTCGAATTCGCCTCAGCTGGCCAGCGTTCGGAAAATTACGCCATATCTTCTCATCCAAAATACCATTTAGTCTCAAGACAAAACTCTTCGACCAGTGTGAGTTGCCAGTGATGACTTACGGGGCTGAGACGTCACTCAAAGGGCTACGCTCGGAGTTTCGTTGCGAGATCGAATCAGTAATGAGGATATCTGCAAGGTAACCAGAGTTACCGACACAGCCCAAAGAATTGCAAAACTTAAATGGCAGTGGGCAGGATAGGTACATTGCTCGCAGAACAGATGGTCGATGGGGCCGAAGAGTTCTCGAATGGCGATCGCGTACGTACCGAAAGACGTAGCGTGAGCAGACCACCCACAAAATGGACTGATGATCTGTCGACAAGCGGGCAGGACGTTGTCGCATTCTTTGGGGGAGGCCTATGTTCAGCAGTGGGGTCTTTTGGCTGAAATGATGATGATAAATTGCAATGTGACTGCAAAAGTGGCGCGCACGTGTCACAACAGTGGTGCTGCAACTTTTATGCGCTTCTAAATATTGTATGAAAATTAATAGTGGCGCGGCTGTAACAAATTTTACAAAAAACGACTCTTCATTATCGCTAGGTAAAAACTTAGTGGTTTAACCACCTAGCGATGAGCTAACAAGCTCGACACATAAATTAACTTACAGTTCACAATATAATTAATGTTCAAATGTTCAGAGCGCATTCGCTATCGCAGATTATGTTTGAAATGATCGTAATCCTGACACACGAATAGCATTTTAGCTTTGTCAAATATATTTAAAACTCTACAACTTCCATACACGCTGAAGTTACTTTTTGACATTGAATTAGCGGTATTGATGTCAAATGATTAGTACCTATAGTATACATGGCATGAAGACTATTATTAGAATGTATCGCAATGGGGCATAATTAAAATTTTTAAATTTATCGACATTTAGGCAACAGCATTTAATTACTTATGATTTTCAGTACAATGGAATAAGAAATACGAATAAATTTCAAGTGCGAGGAAAAGGAAGACAGGGAAAGTTAAACGTAAGTATGATACATTAAAGAAGCATACTATGACAACCTCGGCAGCGATTTATAACTTTTTTTGTAAAAAAAACGAACCTCAAAAGTTTGTGGAATTACATCTATGTGCCAAGTTTTATTAAAACTGATTAACGAAAGGTGGGTGTACCTAACCCATTGACTTACAATTATATGGAAGTCGGGTCCGCGCTAAAAAGTGTCCGCACTTGTAAGGCGCTAAAATCGTATACAGAGCGCGACACTCCGCTTTAGTCTTCATTTGTTCTACTGACAGCGCGATACTGCGATGACATTACAATTTAAATTTCGAATAGGTTGACTTGGGACATTTTTTTCGTGGTTTTTGTATTAGACCCGTCGTCCATTTATTTGTAAGTCAATGACCTAACCCAATAAACTAGATTCATCCCCTAATTTAGAGGTGGAATATTTTCTTCAAATTTGAATCATCGAAATCGGTTCATGAATGTTGGAGTAATTGCGTGACATACAATCAAAAGTAAAATAAAGTGGAATTGAGAACCTACTCCTTTTTTATATAATTCTTTGTTGCACAAAGAAAAGACATCTGAAACACAAATTACAAAGAACATATACATAGATGAGATCTTTTCCAGCCAACCCTAGTCGTGGTGTAAAAGAAGTCTGCGGGACTAATTATTGTACAATAAAATGAAAATTTAAATGTGAATAAAAAATATAAATGATGATATTATACATATGACAGACATACACACCAACTTGAACTTTATACGTAAATACATACATAGATACATATATCTCTCTAGTCTAGAAAGTCTAGATACATATATCTATCGACTCGAGTCGTATGACTCAATAACAAATGTCAATGCACGGTCGGGTGCACGAGTTGAATGATCATTATCGGAACACCTCATTCATCATATCATATAATTTACCATTATGTCAGAGAGGGCTAGGTGATCACGAGCAGAAATGCTCTATGGAATCTATGGATTAGGACTACTAATTAGTAATAAATGATCATTCAAATCATTCGAATATGAAAATTAGTAGGTTACTAATTTGACATTCGAATGACAGGATTAGCGATTACTAACGAGACGAATAACGAAATCATTCACTATCGCGCATCACTAAGCAGAATATATATTATAATCTAAAGAAATTACCAGTTACCGATTGACTATGTAATAGTGTGGAGTCTGTTAAAAATCTATGAATTTTTTTTTTTTTTTTTTTTTTTAATAAGTGATACGGAAGACATAAAATGTGTAGGTATATCAGTAACCAAAATAAATAAATATTAGACAACATAAGTAAGTAAAGATGTCCATGGCACCCGCAACATAGAGTTTCCCTAGTGCGGGGCTATGTTGAGTGTGTACGTTATTATTATTATTATTGAAATAAATAAACGATTTAAGGTCATCTAAGTTTATAATTAGTTTTACTTTTTACATTCACAGCAAACGTAATAGATTATTTACATTTTGAGTTTCTCAATTCTTTATTATATTTTTAAGCGATGTATTTCTAATAAATAATGAAAATTCGAGAAGTGGAGAATTTGTGGGGAATATGATCTTTTCTCTTCCCAAATTTGGGGATTTTAACCGTGATTTTTGGGGATTTTCAACAATTGGCATTGGTAACGCTGATTGTAACAAATGATGTGACTTAATATCCAAGGTTCGCCACCTCCACCAGATCTTTTAATATTCTTTACTTTATCCATTTTGCATGAACTCTTACAACGTCCAATAGAGTAAAAACCCTAATTGTAGTATTTTTTTAAATAAAATCTACTGAAGACGCGCTATAACGTGTTTGTCAATAAGTACAAACACTACAGAATGTCTATAAATCAAATATATCTAGAATAAACTTAAGAACTCTAGTTTTTTAGAGTATTAATAGACTTTACTGGATGTGTATAGAACAATTTTACTAAAAATAAACAGTTTTTCTACAGATGAACTTAAAATAAGGACTATAAGAGTAGATCTTAAGAGAGATTACACTTAATTAAGTTGTTTGGTATTAAGGTGTTAAAATTTTTACTTGAGTGAAATAAGTCTATAAGAACAATTTCCTTTTTTCTGAAACCATTTATAGGGAACTATTATCTAAATCAATACCATATTAAGGGTCGTATTCCAAAACTCTACTCAATGCTCAAGTCAGAATTTGAGCAGACTTGAGTATGATTTCAAGCACTGGAAATAGGACCCTAACGGCAAGGACTTGAGTATAATTTTCAGTGCTCACTGCAATACTCAAGTCTTGACTTGAGTATTGAGTAGAGTTCTGGAATACGCCTCTAAGACTGTTTATAGATATAACAGTTTTAAGGCAAATAAAAAATGTTGGTTTTTCTACATTGACAAGATGAAAACCGTTGTGCAAGCCACTGGACCGAGGTCGTCATGTATTTAACGTAAAACGTAAAGTAACTTTCTTTCTGCCTCTTTGGGAGCCAGACGGGATTGTATGTATATGTCAACAACAAGGTCCCCAACTCGATAACGAAAGATTTTCTATTTTTGATTGAACCAAATTGGCTCTCAAAGTATCAATGATGTTTTGTTGGTCACTTATCGGCTTCTAAAAAGGTACCTTCATTATAATATTATCCAATTTACTCGACTGCTTGTTAAAAACTGACCCCGTTGTTATTAATTAAGAGTCGATACAACCTCAATTGGCTTTGGTTGATCCACTTTAACAGTGAAAGTGTTGAATCAATCACTTTGGACAAAATAAACAGTAAAATTGAGGTTATGATACTGATTATTTTTTTTTTTTTGTAGTATACGGTGTGAAAACACGATTCTTAAAAATTTTCACGATAGAAAAAAAACACAAACTTATTTCGAAATTTTACGAGAAAACGTTGTATTCAATAGGTACTTTACATAAAGGTGACCAATGATTTTTTTTATATCATCTGAACTAAATAGAACATGTATATTATACGATATACATTTTCAAAAATCGTTTGTAAAAGTATACATTCTGAAATAAAGTCTGTGTCTCTGCCTCTCGACCGAAATGGCACGATTCAATACGGGAAAAAATTAATTCGAGCTTAGGTAGTATCAACTCTTAACAGATATTTTGATTAGAAGTGGAGGTTATGCTACGGTTACCATTAACGATTAAAATTTAATTTCAGCCAGAAAAAGCGGCTACAGAAGAAAAAGAAGCTGATATTCAATTAGACGAAGCCATAAAAGAGGTTAAAAGAGGTCTAGTTCTTTATCTACAAATATTGAACAAATTTTCTTATCACATTATCGACCTCTGTGAACCATCGATTTGCCTTGCGGACGCTGTAGCTCGGTTGGTAAGAGCGGTGGCCGCAGTGTGGCAACAGACTTTGGTTCGTGTCCAATCGTAAGGAAAGAATCGGAAACTTTAAAGAGACTAAAAAGCTGTTCGTTCATCTGTTATGTGACTCTATAAACCTTGTATTCCAGGAACTGCAACAACGTGTCAAAGGACTAAAGCCGATGAAGGTTTGAAGAAACTACCTACTATATGGTTAGATACCTATCTCTACTTCCAATACGAGGTTATGCGTTTCCGTAGGTAGTGTACCTACTACAGAACAAAATACAATAACTAAGTATAAATGGTATAAACTCACGGTACCACGATTTCGTTTAACTAAGGTAAAGGATTCTTTAATGGGGAGCTGTATACACGTTTTTACCACAAGATTCCGGAGCATATATTAAAATTATCATTTCCTAATAGGAAATGAAACTATTTTTCCGGATTTAAATCGCGTATATTTGTT